TTAAAACTCGTTCGTATAGTAATCGTGCTCGCTTGTGACTTGTGGCCACTAAATTATGTTTCAGAGAGCGATTCGGATGTTTACTGGCACACAAAGACTTATATCCTTCTCTTGAAAGGATGTTACGCACGGTGGAAAAGTTGGAATCGTATTTCTTTGCCAAATCACGTATGGAGACACCTGGGTTGCTTTTCACGTACCTCAACACCTTTCTCCTCAGCTCTTTGTGCCTAGTGCTACTTTTATGATAGATGCGCTGTGCTCTATCCACACTCAGGGTATCCTTGTAACGTTTGATTACAAGACTCACCGTTGACTTTGGGAATTTTAACACTTGTGCTATTTTTGAGGCAGACCACGAAGGGTTCTCTAGATGTTTGTGCACAATTAATTTTCTTTGCTCAAGTTCCATGATCCGTAATTTCGGGATGCGTCGATCAATCGAGAAAAACTTTTCACCAATTTCTTCGTCAATAAAACATCAACAAATGCCTATCAAACGTTTTTTGTTCCAACCACCAGGGGTGCGGTGGTGTATTAAACCGTGCGTCCAGATTTACTTTGAATCGAGCTTTAGGCAAAAGGTGTGCGTTTGACTTTGTACTGTACTTGTACGGCCCTTCGCTCATTTTTAACTTCTATTCAATTTTCATACTGCCGTACTCTAACGGAAATATCTACCCACCCTCTTCTAAAGACCATTCTCTAGCTAATAAACTAACACACTAAAGCTTCATGTTAGATAGCATTTCCAACCAACTCTGAAAATTACAAACTTCGCATATGAAGTAACATAAAAACACTTTTAATGTAAATGTGTATGTTTATCACTGACTGCATTTTCAATGACAAATTACATAAAGATCATTTTCATTTCGTGATAGTGACGACAGCTGTCAAAATCGTCGTGAACGGTTGATATTTTACAACTCTGGCAAGGAGACGTCCGTCACACAATATTTTCACCATAATGATGGTGACAGAGAGTCACCTCACCTCACTCGCCGGACAGTAGAGGAGTTGGTTATAAATATTCTAGCGAGGGCTTTGCCCTCTCATAGTTACACTATTACACCTATTACTTATTTAGAACGGATCTATTCAATACGAAATGTTTACGTTTCTACATTCTTCCGATTATTGGAACATTTTCTGTACTGCAAATTAAAATGGGGTTATGGGAACCATTTTCAACCCATGGTCCTAATTTAGTTTCATCACTAAAAAGCGTAACTGGAGTAAATTGTGTCTTACTTTTCTATGTCAGCGAAGCATCTTGATTCAAAGACTTTATCCCCTGACGAGAATAGATGAAAGTATTGCCAAAGCCGTCATTTACCCTAGTGGATTTTTGATGGCATGAATCTCTAAAACTGCAGAGGTTTTGTTTAAGAAGTTGTAAGCATACGAAATGATTACCTACCGACTTCGGCATTTTTGACGTAGGACTACGTCTTTGATTTCTATATGGGGGTACACTTTGTGAAAACCGAAAATGGAACATGTAACAATTTACGAAAGATTTTGAACGTTAATAACTCAGCTGCCCCTGGTCCAATTTCAATAATTTTATCACCAATCGATCAGCAATATGGCTACGCATCGATAACAATGCTTCCGAATGTTGATTTTCAACAAGAAACTATTGAAAATCTGGTAAATGTCCAGCATTGTCCAAAAGCGTCGAATTAACTAACAAATCCACCAATTACCTACATGCATATGCTGCTTCCCCAGCACAGTCGTCAGAGAGTAGTAAGTAGACGAAACAAGTCTGAGTGGCATTCGTCTCCAATCCTCGGGCACGTGCGAATAGGGAGGATGGAATTGCGCAATATGTTGCACACTCATCGCCATATTCAGAACCAAACGCAAATTCTTCGAGATAATTACCATCCGTCGTCTGGCTTTCCGTGGCGGTGTCTGACGTATCTCCGGTCTGATTTACGAGGTGTGCTGAAGATGTTCCTGAAAAATGAGATCCGTGATGCTGTCACCTTCACTAAACACGCCAAGCGTAAGCGGCCATGGATTTCATCTACGTTTTGAAGTGACAGAGACGCACTCTGTTTGGTTTCGGAGGTTAAATCATCACCAACTTTGGCAACAAAACGGCTCTTTTCAGGGCCACCAAGCTTATTACAGTAAAGAGAAGGAATAGAATTCATCTGCCTGTTTGTCCATATTCAGAACCAACGATCACACAAAATGCTCATGTAATCAAACTGGAACCAGGGGTACACATTATTTTGATCAACCTTGATCAACTTTGAATCGCCACGGCCGGATATTTTCGATGAAAGAAGCTACAATCTAGCATCTAATGCGACGAAGACGGCAGAAAACATTTGTGAAGCCGAGTTATTTACGAAAGAGAGTGTCGATGAAGAGAATTGATCAATGTAGATAGGACCTATTGAAAAGTGACCGGAGATTTGTTTTCCGTACTGAGCTCCAATGCTACCGACGCCAGGGAGGCAGCTCCCACATCTGGACCCTACCAATCGACCCATCAACTTAACCGAGGACCAACGGCTTTGCTTCCCGAAGGAAGGCGTGATCAGAGATGTTATGCCTTAGAACATGCCGGTGGCGCCGACTGAGCTTGGACCCAGGCCTCCTGGGGTGAGAGGTAATCACGCTAACCACGGGCGCCGATATCTTTCAAGGTGATATCACGGCGAATGAGATCGACCCAAATTTGAGTTTAGTTATCTCAGAAATAAGAAATGAAGTGCAGGTACTCAGCGATGAGTAAATTTGCCTCATGTTTTCCCAGGTTTTTCCAGGGAAAAATTCCCGAATTTGAAAAAAGTAAAAATTGGATTCACTCAGTCTATAGGTACTACTCCGAGACTGAATAAAATTTTCGTCAATTTCCTCATTTTCTGGCAGATTTTTTAGGTTTACCACAGGAAATCATGAGACAAATTTACTCATCGCTAAGTTCCTGCACTTTTGGCAATTATGAGTGAACTAAACTCAAATTTGGATCGTTCTCATTCGCCGTGTACGCAAAAGGAAAAGAGTCAGCGTCGCTACTTGATAGCAAACTACTCATAATGGGAGGAGTCTTTGTAGCTTTGATACCACTTGGTTGCACATCATTCTGCTTTAACCTGAAAAGACATAAAAGAGCGCTGCTGTATGGCATTAGCTCATTTTCGCTTCGGGCGGCGTGGTGAACAGCAATATCAGCAGTAGGAAGGTGGTGGCTAGTCCACTCTTCTACAATTGACTGGTCGTGGCAAAGGAGGTGCCAAGCGTCATCGCAAAGTTCTTCGAGATAACTGCCATCGGTCGTCTGGCTCGCCGTGGTGGTGTCAAACGTATCTCCGGTCTGATCTACGAGGTGTGCTGAAGGTGTTCCTGGAAAATGAGGTCCGTGTTGCAGTCACCTAATCTGAACACGCCAAGCGTAAGTGGCCATGGATGTGCTCTTCAATAAAACGGCCCTTTTCAGGGCCATCAAGCTTACATCAGTAAAGAGTTGGAATAGAATTTATCTGTGCTTGTTTGTCAATATTCAGAATCACAAGCCCCCAACAACCACACAAAATGCTCTCTAGAGTTGTAATCTTGTACCCAACCTTGGAAGCAGGGGTGCAAGTGATTTTGATTGATTCTCTTGAAAAAAAAAATTACTACAAATTTGGTACGCCTACAATTCAAGAACGGAAAGAGTTGAAATAATAGATAATTGATCAATTAAAAGAACTAAATGCTGTTCACATTTATTCCGTCCACTAGCGGTCCTACGTCAAGCTTCCGTTCGTGCCCCTAGGCACAGACCCTTCTACTTTTTTTTACTGAATGTAGAACTGTTCGGTAAAGTCCAGACTTTTGTATTTTATTAGTTTTAAAGCTTTCAAACAATGAATATTCCACTACAATGTCAAGATTCAATTATTTGAACAACGCTCAACATGCTTTGAAAAAAAAATATATGAGGCAAATAGGTTTTAAAATGAAGGTCAACGTTTAATTGCTGAGTATCTGAAAATAAGAACTATTGGAAAAAAAGGCTGCTCTAGAAAGAGAGAAAGTGAAAACCTTTTTTGTTGGTCAGAATGTAAACAAAGCAGATTTTGGCGGCAATGAGCGGTAACAGTAGCATGCGCAAAAATTGGTACACATTGAAAAAAAAAACGAAAATTGGAACCTTTATCAACACTGAACCACAAGTCACATTTTAGAAAACATAACAAGGTCATTACATTAGACGGCTACTAGTAAACGCACGTAACAACCCAAACAAAAATACGAACAATACGACAATAACTTAATGTTGTTTGCGATGATGCCAATTGCACAGCTTTGTTTCTGGGTAATTTTATCTACCGCTCTTCTCAGGATTCCCCACATGTGCCCCGTAGGTAATCGCACATCGTCAGAATGACTAAGCATCTCGCCGAGCGACCCGTCGTCGTGATAAGATTAGTGTTGTATACCAACACACAACACAACTGGAGGTAATAGACACCTCCCCACATTCCTTTGCGTTCCAAATCGGATTGCACCGCTTTCATGTAGGTGTTTAGTCTTCAGGAGCATGAATTAGAATAGGTATCCAACTCTCCTCATCCGTTGTACCTTTTGTAGTACATAGATACATGCTGGGCTGGTACTCGAGGAATGTAAAATACTTCACAACTCTGTAGCCGGAGTCAGTATACCGCACCGTTCGACGTTTACAATGCTAATTTACTTGCAATTATAAATTGTTACTGATAAGTGGCACAATTTCTATTTAATTACTGGCGCGATTGGCGCAAATCGGGAAATCGTGGGACGAGATGCATATGTTTTGTTGGGTGAGCTTCGGGTATCTAAATAATTTACGAATGTTGGAAGGTGCAAGGGTGGGAACATAATAATTTACCATCCTAAATCAGAGCATTTGTTGTAGTCATGGAATTCTACCTGAAGAAGTTCGGTCTCATATATTTTGTATATTTCCTGAATCCGTTGAAGTTTCAAAATCGTTACTATCGTTACAGAGTTCGGTGCCAGAGCCGTTGGCAATGGAGACCGCAACGGACTTCATCGATCATCTGAGTGATCCGGAAGGGGCTGGCGACGGGTGCTCGCAGTCCCGGGAGGAGCTAGGCGATATGACTTTCTTCATGTCGAACTACGCCAAGGAAGCACTTAAGATGATGTTCATGATGCGTTCTCACCACATGCTGACTGACGTGACGCTGGAAATAGAGCAGGAAACTTTCCACGCACACAAGGTGGTCCTCTCAGCGGCGAGTCCCTACTTCAAGGCCATGTTCACCGGTGGGCTTAAGGAGTGTGAAATGTCACGGGTCAAACTGCAAGGGGTAGGTTCGGGGGAGTTGCCACACTCGATACGATTACTAATCCAAATGTATTTTGTCCGATACAGGTTTGTCCAACGGCGATGGCCCGAATCTTGTTCTTCATGTACACCGGTCACATAAGGGTGACCGAGGTAACGGTGTGCCAACTACTGCCGGCCGCTACCATGTTCCAGGTGCCAAACGTAATAGAGGCGTGCTGTGCCTTCCTGGAGCGCCAGCTCGATCCGACCAATGCGATTGGTATTGCGAACTTTGCCGAGCAGCACGGTTGCATAACGCTCCGGCAAAAAGCCAACCAGTTCATTGAACGAAACTTTACCAAAGTAAGTAACTACACATTTTAACCACATCAGATCATCGCACACAAATCCCGCAATTCTAATCATCTACATTTGTTTACCGCTACAGATCTGCCACGAGGAGGAATTCCTGCAACTATCTGTGATGCAACTAATTTGTTTGATAAGGAAAGACGAACTGAACGTACAAGGCGAACGGGATGTATACGACGCTGTACTGAAGTGGGTTCGGTACGACGAAGACAACCGGTACCCGAAAATGGAACACATTCTCTACGCCGTACGTTGCCAGCTGCTAACGCCAAGCTTTCTCAAAGAACAAATGAAAACCTGCGACGTGCTCCAGCGGGTACCTGCTTGTCGCGAATACCTTGCGAAAATTTTCGAAGATCTTACCCTCCACAAACGACCGTCCGTGAAGGAACGCAAGCCGAACACAACTCGAATGATTTTTGTGGCCGGCGGATACTTCAGACATTCCCTCGACATGCTGGAAGGCTACAACGTGGATGACAATGTATGGATCACGCTTCCCAAGCTAACGGTTCCGAGATCAGGGCTTGGTGCAGCCTTTCTCAAGGGTACATTCTATGCCGTCGGTGGACGTAACAATTCGCCAGGATCATCTTACGATTCCGATTGGGTTGACCGGTACAATCCGATATCGGAGACGTGGCGACCTTGTTCACCGATGTCCGTTCCGCGAAACCGAGTCGGAGTGGCTGTAATGGACGAACTGCTGTACGCTGTCGGCGGTTCGGCAGGGTCGGAGTATCATAATACGGTGGAATAGTAAGTACACTTTGACTGTTCGGTACGAAAAATTACTTAGCATGATTTCTTTTTCCAATAGCTACGATCCGGAACTAGATAAATGGACCTTGGTTCAACCGATGCACTCAAAACGATTGGGCGTTGGCGTTGCCGTAGTCAACAGGTTACTGTACGCCATTGGAGGATTCGACGGCAGGGAACGGCTACCGACTGTAGAATGTTATCATCCGGAAAATAATGAATGGACAATTATACCGGCGATGAAGTTTGGTCGTTCCGGGGCAGGAGTGGCAGCTCTATATCAGCACATCTACGTTGTGGGTGGATTCGATGGGACGCGGCAGTTAGAGTCGGTTGAGCGGTACGATACGGAACTACAGACGTGGGAACTGGTTGCACCAATCAAAATCGCCAGAAGTGCCTTGTCGTTGACGGTTCTGGATGGGAAACTGTACGCCATGGGAGGATACGATGGGCAGAACTTTTTAGCCATCGTAGAAGTTTACGACCCTGTTAGTAATAAATGGCAGGAGGGCACATCGCTTACCTCTGGGAGAAGCGGCCATGCTTCCGCGGTAATCTACGCACCGTCGTGTATTTCCAATTATATGGAACATCTTAACATAGCCGGTGACTCTAAAGGGCGTAAAGGTGAACGAGGAAACGACGGAGACAGTGGCTTTGGATCGAACGGTGGTATTCAGACGATGGAATGTGAAGCTTCTACCTCCCGAGGAACATTAGTTGGAAGTGATGGGGCGCGCACTCACAACTTGAATGAGATGACAATCGAGGAGCCACCAATCAGCTCCTACAGCGACTGCGAACTGATGAAAACGCTCTGCAGTAAGGCCCCTTGTAATTGTTCCAACGTTCCTGTCGAAAGTTTCAAATGTAGTGCTGAAAAATTTGCTGTCCAAAGTGATTCTAGTCAAAGTGATGAAAGCGAAGTAGATGTCGTGGGAAAGTCAGTTCCCGTCGTAGAGGGTGCCCCACCAACCGTGGTATCAACTTATCCGAAGAAAAACACCTCAGATTACATACCTGCCTGCAATAATGACAATAACAAGCCAAACCCTATACAGCCGGAAATTTGCGATAGTCTCGTGGGGAAGAAATGCAAGAGAAAGGTGAAAAGAAAAGCATCAAACGGTTGGAACGAGGACAACTGCGCTTTGCTTCGCCTCAAGAAGCAAATCACCTGTTTCGTATCGTCTATAGTGTCTCCTTCTACGGCCAACCATTGCCTTACCAATGGCGAATGCTCGTTTCCGCGCTCACAACCAAATAAGCCACCGCCCAGTGTTCAATTTACCAATGATGAACTGGACAACCAACCTCCGGAGAACCGCTTGCATCCGCCTAGCGAACCGGACTTCCACTCAATGCCTTGACGACAGGCGATCTTAGATCTTGCAACTCCCGTAATGATCCATCTGACTTAGTTCAAATCAAAAACAAAAGCTGACAAACAATAGAAAAATTGTGCATTCCTCTCCTGCTAAATTGTGTTAAGTAGTAAATTATTTCCTATAGCTTGTGAATCGGATACCTAGCAGCAGGTACTAAAGGGAGAAATCGACTGATTTTTTTCCGTCGTCGAATTAGACCTTAAGCATCAGGTAGGACTTTTGCACGTAACATGGTAGAATTTATACTATGTATGAATTCACGTAAAGTTATCTAACAGCAAACGAAAAGCCTATTGACAAGGTGTACAGAAATCCTATTTAATCAAATGATGAATCCTCTAGCCAGGGGCAGAATTTGTTAAAGTGTCATACATGTAAATATTTCATAAGGAAAATTTTATACCACTAATGGCGGACAAAGATATCAAATATACCTAATTATGATGAATTTAAAACAAAATAGTATCAATTCTTTAATTTTCGAACCCACTGGATCTTGCTTGTTTTAATTGCCTGAACGTGTACGGAAAGCGACGCGACCGCAATTCTTATTCAAAAGAAATCGAAGAATTACCACTACTACACCAAATTCCAAGATCGATCGAACTAGAGAACAATATAGAGCTGTCTGGCAGAGATCTTAAAAAGGAATCCAAGTTGCCTGTTAGCGTTAGCTATGATATCCGTGTAATATAGATCACGAACGTTGTCCACACGCTGCAGAGGCTGGTTATCAATCGTATAATTGAATGCAATAGGTTTTAGCTTGCGATGGAAAGTGATGATATTGCATTTTTGAACACTCAACGTGAGATTCCTAGAGCACAACTCTTCGAAACTATCGATCAGCTGCTGCAACTGCAAGCAATCAGTGAAGCATCGCACAACCACGTACATCTTGACATCGTCTGCGTAGAATGACCGGCAGCCAGTTGAAAGTATCAAACCGATTTCGTTAATGAATATCAAGAATAGCAGCGGTCCCAAATTGCTGCCTTGAGAAACGCCTGAGTTGTTTGAATTTTTTTTTTTAGTAAGATACGATTCAAACCAACGAGTGAGTCCTTGAGAGACACCGAACTTCTCGAGTTTGGCAAGTAGAATGGCCTTATCAACCTGGTCGCAAGCAGCCTTAAGATTCGTGTATACGACGTCCAGCTGTGCTCGTCGGGTTAATATTCCGTAGGCTAAGGGAAATGAAAGGAGCGAAGATTTCCAACGAGAAGGAAATAATACCTAGTTGTAATGAAATATTGAAAACTCTGTTGATCATCTTTTGAGTATGGACGATGGAATGCCGTCAGGCCCAACAGCGTTCGAGAATTTCAGCTTCTGTATGGCAGAGTCGACGAGGTCCAATGTGACCGTGAAAATATCAAAACTGAACACGTCACTGGGATTATCTCCGATCCCTTCAGCAACTAGAGCTTCTATGGAGAGTTGGGTTAAATAATTATCTTATTAAAAAAAACTATTGTTGTCTTTTCCGAACAGGTCAGTAAATGGTAAGTTAATGAAGGTAATATAAAATGATAGTATTATATTCTCATATTCTACATATTTTCATATAAACATTTACATTCATTGGGTAGGATGGCGCGCTGCCTGATTGAAACGATTTGGATGAGGAGAGTGGAATTGCCAACTCCCTGTTGTTAACATTTCGTGAATTGAAGGTGGGTTCATCTCCCCTCTCATTGGAGGGGAGAACATTTCTATCATTGGAAGGAGATTCTTCTTGTTCATGTGGATCACGCGTAAGTGTCTCTGCTTACGGGTTCACCCTCCGTTTTTGGTCCTTCATACAATGGTAAATTGAATATAACCAGGCATCGTACTTGATCAAGTCATACGTGGTGGACATTCCACTGTCTAATGGCTGTGCCCTGCAACAACCAACAAGGGAAGTAAAGCCTTTGGTCCCCGGTTCATGAGTTGATGAATCGATAGGTAGGGTCCAGATGTGGGAGCTGCCTCCCTGGCGTCGGTAGCATTGGAAAGCAAAGGAAAAGAAAGGGGGAAGGGGGGGCGAGCTTGCGTTACTTATTATTACATAAGGGTTTATGGGAATTAAAAATCTACTGTCTAATCGGCTTTCGAGATGTTTTAGAATTTATAAGAACGCGCAAAATAATATTCACATCGACGCTAGATTATTCTCCAGAACGTAAATAAACAGATTAACCAATACCTTTTACAATTTTCGCTGCTTCCGAGGCCGTGGTGGATTCCACGATACTGGCGTCGTATCGGTGATGGATACAATATTCATTCCAGCCATTTCCAATCCTTTGATAGCCGACTGAAGAGCACATAGTGTTCGTCATTTCTAATGTAATCACACAAACTGATTCTTCAAAAATATAACTTACCATTCGTCCCGGTCCAAGCCCTCGAACTGTCACCCGTACGCTTTTGTAGCCACGTTCAATTGCTTTCTGTAAATCAAATACGTTTCCAACGGGGTCACACAACTAGAAAAGCGTCATCCGAATTCAACATACCGTGCAAATGCTGATGGCAGTGGCTTGCGCTGCAATATTCGTACCCTTGCGGGTGTTTTTGAAGCCTTCAATCCCACAGGACCGAATAAACTGCGGCACTCCTTTGGCGTCACATATCGTGATGATGGTGTTGTTAGGTGAAACTCTAATGTTGCAGATTGGAATCTCGTTGAATGGCATTCCGTTGAACAGGGTGGTCGGCGTGTTGGCATCCGGGAAGAGACGCTCTTTTCTGCAGTGATTTAAAAAAATGAACCATAATAATTGGAAATTTTTAAGTAACACCGAATACTTACTTGGTAATCAGGGAATCGATGTCGATGGTTCGCTCGCCCACCGTGCCTTCGTCTTTGCCGGGTAGAGAAGCGAGCATGGCCTTGCGATCTTCCACCTTCAGCAAAGCCGCACTTTGATAAATGGTTCGCTTGGGAACCACCCGCAACACATTGGTCAACTTTTGTAGACTTTTCAGGAACATTATTTATTGATTTTCAGGGATTTTCAACTAAAAATCCTACACAATTTGCAGCTAAACCGAAGGATGTTTACGCAATAATCAAAATAAACTCACGCGACGAAGGAGAACTGTCAAAAGAGTACAGTGGTTGCGCAATTTTACATCGTCTCTGTTTTGTGCAGGGATGCCAGAATTTGAAATTCAGTGAAGAATTTTTGTCGAGGGGATCTTACAAGTTGTTCCAATCGAGCAAAGCTACGGACAAAGAGAATAGCTCAGAGAGAGAGTTACTTTTACTCAGATACATGGAGAAATTTCTAAAAACTGCAGGATCTCAGCGCTGTGTAGGGTAGGTGTACCACCCGCACATGTGCGAACCATAACTTGACCTTACCGAAAATAATTAAAAATTGTTTATAATCCACACAGCAAAAAAAAATGTAATATCGATCAACGTAATTCAAGCTGATGTATGAAATAATGATGTAATAGCAAAAAGCAGATACAATATTACATCAATGGATGTAATTTTGTTCGCAAAATCGATGTACATCGTACAATGTGATATTACACAACCGATGGATTGGCCTGGTTGCAGCAGTTTCGATGTAATATTCAACAACTTTTTTTGCTGTGCATGCTAAACTTTAACTGAAATGGTTATGGAACTTTACATGAACGTTTGTGTGATAAAGTTTGAACCTTATGTATTATGGTTTTTTTTTAAGTGAACCTTACAAATAATGGGTTGTTACGCGTAGCCAGAGGGGACCAGGGGGTGGTAAACTGCCTCCCCCTAAACCCAGCAGCACAAAGGCTTTCGGTGAAATGGCGTTCGGTAAAATGGCATTCGGCCAAATTTTTAATAGATTTTTTTTCAACCCTCCCTCGAAACCTGGCTACGCCCTGTTGTTAAGAACCATTACCATTCAAAATGGCTGTTTTCTATTTGCCCATACACAGAAAAAAAAATTGTTGAATATTACATCCAAACTGCTGCAACCAGGTCAATCCATCGGTTGTGTAATATAACGTTGTACGATGTACATCGATTTTGCGAATAAAATTACATCCATTGATGTAATATTGTATCTGCTTTTTGCTATTACATGATTATTTCATACATCAGCTTGAATTACATTGATCGATATTACATTTTTTGTTGCTGTGTACATCAAAACTATATTTTATCCTCGATTTTATCCACCACTTTTTTTTTTTGTTTATTAATTTATTTGATAAGGCTCAACCGAATTAACTTTACAGAGCCGAGGATTCTTGGTCACTATACAATACATCTTAAAACTATAGTCAAAAGGTACAACACAATAAACACTTTACCTTCCGCTATCCAAAAAGCCTCCCTAATAAAAATTGTATGGTTAATTTGCTTAACGACGTGTTCTGGGTATCATCCAAACCATTTGTGGAATAGTTCAATGATTTGGGTTATCGTTCGTTTATGTATGGCATTGTATGGCAAATTGTTGTACGCCAACGAGGGTCAGAGCGCGTCCATTGCAGCAATGGACGCAAAACGTGGTCAGCACTCACACACTCATCACAAAACGGTTGCTTTCCAAAGTCGACGACGCATCGACCGAAAGAACTGCTGATGAATGGAGGCGAACCAGCCCAAGGCTGAAAGCCTCCCTAATAAAGTTAAATAATAATAATAACTGCTGATGAAGAACAATGAGGAGGACCACACAATGGTTGCTGCCGAGAAAACAGACGATCGCGTAGCACACATCGAGAGTGGCCTGCTTTTGTCGACAGCCGAGTGAACACTCATTTATCCACCACTGGCATGCCGGATTTGAGGTGGAAAGTATTATAAAATTATTATTATGAATTAGGCTTGCACAAAAGCATTTTTAAACAAGAGTTGTGAAACCCTAATAAAAAATAACCATAAACGAACGATAACCCAAATCATTGAACTATTCCACAAATGGTTTGGATGATACCCAGAACACGTCGTTAAGCAAATTAACCATACAATTTTTATTAGGGAACCCTTCCCACGCGAACCAACCGGAAAGGGCATAATTTACCCTACCCGATGATGTTTGCGTGGGGGTACGTCACTTCGCGTATATAGGGCCTTAGGCTGTGTTCCATTTGGTGAATTGCTTAAATTGGACAGATGGAACATTTTCAAATAAACCTGCTATTTTACCAGACTTATTTCTGACAGACTATGAATCAAATTTGACAAAAATCTTCTCGAACATTGGACGATCAACAACAGAGGGTTTTTCGAATTCAAACATTATAATTTATTTTCGAAGTGTCAATTTTATGTGAAACATCAACAAATGGAACACAGCCTTACAACATTTCTCAGAATACTTTTTCGCGGGGACGTATCAGCTGATACGTCCCTTCAAAAAATTAATCGAGATTTTTCTTTATACATAGTACGTTCAGACTACAGAGTTTTAACATGTTATAGCGCTATCTTGATGGTGGATTATGTGTTGAAATTATTTGACAAACGGTTGTCATGTTATAACTCTGCAGTCTGGCCAGCGTTATACCCCGTACACATTACAGCGTATATCACGTGATATACGCTGTCTTGCAATGAGCACTCATACATCTAGTTTTCACTGGAAATCCTATGTATGAGTGCTCATTGCAAGACAGCCTATATTACGTGATATAAGCTGTAATGTGAACGGGGTATTATAGTACGTTCAGACAACTGAGTTATAACATGTTATTGCGCTATCTTGATGGTGGTTTCTGTGTTGCAATTAGTTGACAACCATTATAACATGTTATAACTCTCCAGTCTGGACAGCGTTTTACAAAAGCTTTTGTGCTGTTTTATAGTACGTTCAGACTACAGAGTTATAACATGTTATAGCGCTATCTTGATGGTGGTTTCTGTGTTGCAATTATTTGACAACCGTTATAACATGTTATAACTCTCCAGTCTGCACAGCGTTTTAAACGCTGTCCAGACTGGAGAGTTATAACATGTTATAACGATTGTCAAATAATTGCAACACAGAAACCACCATAAAGAAAGCGCTATTGGCGTTAACGAGAGCTCTGTAACTCTTTACCCCTATGGAGAAATCTCATATGTAACTGTCAGTCTATGTGTGAAACATGGCGGACTTTTTCTTATTATCTCACTCCAACGCAAAACCTCATAAGGAACTGTCAAAATGTGTGTGAAGAAACGTCACTTCGGGACTGGTGTCAAGGCGAATAACATGTTATAACCATAGAGGTAACTCTAAGACTAGAAGGTACCGAAATAACGTGCTCAACTTTTTGGCTCAGCTCTGGTACTATCTTCGGTCCCAAGCTAATCGATTCACCCCTCGAAACATAGGAAAAACCAATAACCCCTCATTTTATCTGTCAAACTTTCATAGCGAATCAAAACAAACATTGCGTAGTACTAGAATTTCTACTAGAATGGAGTACGTTAATCGTTTGCTTGGGACCAATAGGCTAGTCAAGTATTAAGCCATTTTAAAATTGTTAGTTTCGTATTGATTGTTGTTATAACTCTGTAGTCTGCCACGCTAACTTCTGCTTACTCACCAGGTGAGTCGATCGTACTCACTTTCGTCCGATGTATCGAGTTGTCAAAAATTGAGTAAACGAGAAATGTCAAACTGAGTAAAAGCCACTCAGTCAGCAAAATCCTGGACTTGGAAAAAATGCCAGTCATGTCGGAGGAAAGTTCATAGAATATGCCGGCTGGAATGCCTTCAGGTAAGTACGAATTGCTTAGGGAAACGGTGTTGAACCGTTTTTTGCTCCGGTAGAAGGAATCCGGAGCAGGCAATTTCCATTTCCTTGAATGAAAACCAAAATAAAAACCCTCCCTGCAACTGAAAATACCGGCGAGTGGATTTGACTCAGTCTACGTGAGAACGTAGTTTACTCAAAAGTGAGTCAACATAAGGCTACTCAATTTTGAGTAGCCATACTTGCCGCTGAGATGAGTACATTCGACTCAATTTTGAGTTGACCAGAATAAGCGTATGAACGTACTATTATACTCCATTATTGCGTATTTTACGGTTACCGTGTGTTAGTGTGAAGATTTTTTTTCGTCGATTTCTTTGAAGTTTTTTTTTAAATACACCTGGCATCTCTGGTTGTGAAAATTTTTGTACTCTGCTCAAAAGTTCGTCGTCGTTCCGTCGTGGTGGTGTTTATTTTCTGTGTTGCACCAAAATTAATACGTAAAATTCTTTTAGCATCCGACAACACAATTGCAGAAAACATGTTCAACGGTTTCTGAAAGTGGTATATCATCGAATTCCACCGGGGAATCCGTTCTGGGCGGTGGTATATAGTGGTACGCAGTGCTAGAGTTTGCGGGTCGAAGAAAACTTTACACATTAGTGTTGGGGCGGAGGATTACGGGAAGCCCCATCCCAGGAAAATTGTGCAGCTGCGTTGGTGAAAAAGAAGATGGCCTTTTCCAGCCACATCAGCGATATCGTCAATTTGAATGTCGGTGGAACCAGGTAATTGAATGGGTGGAAATTATTGGCTCGAAATTCCCCAACAACTCGCAAATTATATTTCAACGTCGATCGTGAAAACTGATTCTGCGAACAGTGTTTATATTGAGGAGATGTTGTTTTGCCATTAGTGAGGCGGTTTGCTACATCGTTATCAGATAATTGGATGTAATAAAGTGTTAAAACATACATTTCACATACAACTATTAGGCTATCACAGATGAATACGTTATCGAAGTTTACATTGGAAATGCTAAGCAATTTTGTTAAGGCTTCTGTAAAATTAGGTCAAATTGTTGTCATATATTGCGCACATATAGGTTGTTCCAGGTATACAAAGTTCAATGCCAGAAGAGAAAAAAATATTAGCTCTGGTGACTCCGTAGAGGGTTAATAATTGAATATGATCTATTTTGCTAACTTGTGGATGTTCAAACGTGGTCAATAATTTCCCATTCACTAATATGTAGCAACATAATATGCATCAACATTTAAGCAGACTGAATATCAGTTTCTGTACTCACTTTTCAATAAGTTTTAATTTTCTGATTCCTGTATTAATTTGGCTTATACAGGGTTATAACATATTATAATAATTATCGACAAGAGAAGTGTTATAACTGCTCAGTCTAGTCAGTGTTTTAACATATTATTTAGGTGTGCTCAGAAGCAGTTTTCTAGCAAATATATTGTTTAATTTGAGAAGAGGACTTTTCGAAATCCCTCCCCCTGGGCAGTGCTGTGGGGTTGAAGTTACTAAAGTGAAGGATTATAGGTTGTATAATATTTGCGTTAATATTATCTTCCTTAGTGGGGCGCCAGGGGCAGACAACCTCGGGCACCGGTTAAAAGATCTCATGGTGGAACCAAGCATTTCCAATCAAAACGTCGACGACCAGACAGGAAGCCCATCTGTCGTGGCGAATACAAGGATTACTGATCAGGGCGTCGTCGACCACGAAGGTCCAGTAGTCGATACAAGCATTACCGATTAGGCGGGAAGCTCATTTGCCATAAGGAAGTTAAGAATGGGTAATCAGGACATTGATGACCTTTCAGATAGTCTAGATAGCACACACCTTCAGGCAGGTAGTTCAGATAATGTTGGAGTTAACTTATCGGATGATAGTGATAAGGATTTGGTTGTGAGCGGTTTTGTTAGGGGATACGCCTGCTAACAGTTTGAAAAGGTAGAGATAGTTAATTAATTGCATAATTTATCTTTAAGATGTTGCATACTGACATCTCATACATTGCCTTCAAGTAAGATCACGAAAATCGTAGAATGGGGATGTACACTCAAAAAATATTGAAATCTAAATAGTATAAAAGCTACACTAAATCGCAATTCTCCCGACCGACGCATGATTCGTTATAAAGGGAGATAATACGAAGTGATTGATGCATGCATAATATAAAGCGCATGTAGTCTATATATTCCTAATAGTTATTTACCTATTCAGGTTTTGCGTTTACTATTGCTGTCATTCATTTTTTATTTTAGTTTCAGTATCAATTTAAATAAAGGGACAATTTAAGCAAATATTGTTTTATTTCCTCGAAACACTGGATTTATGATTTACGAAATTTACATTTTGTTTCCATTTGCTTCCGTTGTTGTTGAGACCACTTCCGTTGTACTATCGTTAGTGATTTAATTCGGATCCAATCGAAGTTGCTTGGCCAGCACACGCACCTATTCCTGGGCATCTTGCTTGTCGTGTCGCAGTCCTATGCAGTACATGCATTATTCTCCGTCTGTCGTGACCAACATCTTATAGATAAGAACGGTCATATGTGCCTGATGATGACTTCGCTATCGTGCTGCGATAGGACACACCGTGGCCATCTAAAGCTGCATTATGGAGAACTTGATCTAGTGTCCTGATCCAGCGAACGATGTATGAACTGTTCGGTAGGGGAAATTGATGTAATGTCGACCTAAATGCCCCTAATTTGGGCCCATACATAAATTCAGCAATCGACTAAATTTTCAAAAGCGACCAAAAATATCCATTATACACACTTACCTAATCACACACATAATTCAGATCACCGAAGTCGGTAGGAATTTACCGGGTTTTTGAACAGCAGAACAAGTCGGTAAAATTTTCAAATGACCGTTACTCGTGAGAAATCAAGAAAATTTATAAATTTTATTTTTCAACAATAAATGGGGTCAACCGAACACATTCTGTACAAGTTTGGAATAAATTTTCTAATAATTGGATTTTTCACTGATTTTTAAACTTTAACCGAACAGTTCTGTAGTTCAAAATTTACCGAACGGCAGAGGCCTGGATTAGTGTGCACGGGTTCCATGTTCGGTAATTTTTTTTACAGTTTTCGAACTGTAAATCACAAAAAATACCGATCATTTATTCTCGACAAAACTGCTGATGGTCAGTAGCTATTGCGACAAACTACTGAATACGGTAAAAGCATGTACTGAATTTACCGTAAAATAACAGCTTTACGGTGAATGAATGAAACTCAGTAAAATGGAGTACCGAGTTTTCAGTATTCATTGATTTTTACTGAAATTTACTGAAAATTGCTGATCACACCAGTAAATCAAATTACATACGCCATCTTCCTCCGTTCTACCTCGCTGACTTGACAACGGAAATATCCGCGTGAAGAAGCAAACAATTGTGAAAATCAATGAAACATCTGGAAGTCGATGCAGAAGTGCAGAAACTGCCACAAAATTGAGCAGTTTCTGCACTAATGCATCGACTTCCAGATGTTTGATTTTGAAGCAGAACCATTCAATACAATTGCCTTATAGAGCTCCAGACTTTGGCACGCAATCCAGCACACCGAGAGAGCCACAATCCGGTTGAATCATCAGGAAACGCTGACCGCTCAACCAGAACTACACTCAAAATAATCCGCACTTTAATACTACGTGAAAAATCAAGTAACGTTTAGTCAGTCTACTTTACGTGACTCTCGTAAAATCTACGCAATGCCACCTGAATGCTAAAAGAAATTCCAACCACACTTATTTATTTATCCAATGAAAATTAAGTGATTTCCACATACCTAGAATCTATGTGCGTTTCACGTAAGTCTTAAGTGCATTCCACGTATGAAAAAAGTAGGGCACTCAGTTGGGTGTTCAACATGGCGGCTTGAGTGTAAATATGCAGATTTGTTGTATTTTTTTGGACTGGTGAAAAACGTAAGTATAAGATTTCAATTATGCTGTAAAATATCTTTGATTAGTTTATTTGAAGATGGCAAGCAGCAAAAGCAGTTTAATTTTCTTTTCCTTTCCAGGTCCACTATGGATCCTCGTCGGATACCATCGATAGTCACGGAAGCGAACATGCACGGCTCCTGCACATCAACAAACGCTTCTACTTTGCTCAACTGTAGCAGTCGAGTTTACAGCTCACGACTCCTCACCGGAACGGGAAGATAATGGCTGGTATTACCAGTCATAGGCAGCTCAAACGGAGGCAAAGCTACCACGGAGCCGGGAAGTGCAATCGTCTCATGGAGGCACGTTGACCAAACATCGAATTCCTGATTGGGTTTTATAGCAATGTTGTTTTTATTTTGCTTATAATAAATTGAACGCTCTAAGATGAATAAAAAAGTTTCATGAAATTTGTTGTAAAAAGCATTAAAATTAAAAAAAATCAGCAAACAGCAGTTGAAATAGTATAAGAAACCACTATGAAATCTATCGACAGTATCACGTAACTTCTACGTGATAATCCTGTGACATTTAAGCTTCATGCAATGAGTGCACCTACATGTTAATCATATAGTTCTTACGTGAAAAGTACGATGGAAAAAATCTACGTATTTTTTCACGTAGCATTGAAGTGAAAATTATTTTGAGTGTAGTTCAGAATCACGGCTACTCCACCACTAAACATGTTAACCTCAGTTCCGGAATAAAAATCGTTCAAAATGTATCCAAAATAATCATTTAGCAGTTAATCATTGTATTTATAAATTTATTGAATTATTCATAAAAATACCTGCTGAAAAAAATACTGATAAACTCAGCAAAAAAATGTAAACAAATAATTTACTGAAAGAGACAGCAATTATTCTACTGACTATAACGGTAATTTCTGACAGAGATTCTGCGATTTACGGAGTTTTCAGTTAAATCAAAAAGTACTCAGTTGATTACTGAAAACTCAGCTGTTTGAAAACCCAGTAAAATTTTACCGACTCAGGTAATCTATAAACTCTGTTTGTATGTACCGTCCCAATGACACATTCCTTTATTTAACGTCGGTCTCTGTTCCGCAATCTAGTGCCACTGACGGACATCGAGTACCATCCATAGACGGCAATCGAATGTGCACAGGAAGGCAGCTTCCACTCCTGCGTTGGATATCGCACCCATTCAAACACACATGGGCCAGGACCAACGGCTTTCCTTCCAAGGAAGACGTGACCAGAGATTTTTATGCCTCAGAAAAATCCCACCGACCTCCTGACTGGGATTGAACCCAGGTCCATTGGCGTGGAAAACAGTCACGCTTACCACTACACCACCGGCGCCGGCATCCCAATGACACGTTCATCTACATAAAATGGATAAATAGCCAGATTTTCTGCGATGGGCCCGATATTAGATCCATAGGCCAACATTAGAGCCATTTCCCCTAGTTGTCGATGGTGTGATGGTGGTGATGTTTTGTTAGGAGTATTATCCATTATTCAACTGTTTTACCTACTTTGTGGGCTTCGTGGTCGTGCGGTTAGCGGCGTCATCCGTCGTTCAGGCGTATTGTGAGTGCCACGAAGTGAGGGTTCGATTCCCACTCCAGCCGGTGGAACTTTTCGCAACCCGGAAATTTCCCTACTAGTCTGGTCTACTTGGGTGTTGAGTGTTGTCCGTTGTCTAGTGTTAAGTATTCAGTCTGTACAACATCTGGTTGAAGACGGTGTCAATTGTCTTGTATTTTTTAAACGATTGAAGAAAGTATTTTCCTGTAAGAGAATCAAGAAGCAAACGTGTAAGGGAAATGACATAGTATCTAAATCTAGGTTCCGTAGGTCGTGGAACAGGGTCGATAGGTATAGTAAATCATCAATTTCTGTCTCTTTATTTTCTCACCTATTAACTATTATCACTGTTACTACGGCTATCCCCTGTATTCAATGTCTTTCCTTTCTATTCGGCATTTTAAAGCAGGATTGATTCACTTGACCCCTGTGGTTAGTATTGTATGATGTCAAATCTATACTGCCTTTAATCGCATATCAGTCCCATATAGATTTTCGTCTATTTTGAGATAACAACGCTACTATCAATTGGCATCTATTTTCATATTACGTGATAAAACTACGGACTTTAACCTTGAAAAATGTGAAAACAACATCGAGTCAGTTTGTCTCATTCTCATCAATCAAAATAATCGCATATTAGTCACATCCTAAAATTTAACCGTCCATAGTTCAAGTTAAAGTTCTGCTTATCGAATTGCCATATTTTTCGCTGATATAACAAAACATGCAAGCTTCATTGAAACTGATTTTAATTTGATCATTAAATTTACTAAGACGTTTCAAATATTTACATGGAAATTACACTTCACGACTTCGACGATCATTTTCTCAATGCCTACTTTTTCCTTAGGGGACTGATATGCAATAATTGTGGTAGACTGGCCCTATGACCACATTGTGCTTGAAAATGGAAACGATTATAACACACTCGACTTAATTTTCTGTTCATCTACTTCCGCAGATTCTCGACATCCCGTCAAACCCTAACATGGGTACCGGATACGTTTTTCACTTCCTTGCTCAACTCCGAGAGGAATGGCCGTATTTCCAGCCTCCGTGACGAAACGGATGCCATCTTCATCGATCGTGATCCAAAGCTGTTCTCTATCATTCTCAATTACTTACGTACCAAGGAGATCGACATCAAGTCCTGCGATATCCGGGTACTGCGACATGAGGCTGAATTCTACAACATTTCGCCACTGATCAAGCGGTTAATGCTGTGCGAAGAGATGGATCAATCAAGCTGTGGTGATGTGTTGTTTTACGGATATCTTTCTGCTCCAAGTATGTTGTTGATAAATTACAAGCTTCAAAATGCCTTACTTACTCTACTTTACAGACATTCCAATCCAAGAGGTAACGCTACCTTCCTCGTCAACTAGTTCCGTGAGCGGTATCACTGCGACCAATTCTTTATCCGGGTCAAACGGTTCCGCTCAATCAGCTCAATCCAAAACCAACAACGACCTGCAACCCGGAACTTCCTCTCAGCCGTCCGCATCCCAGCAGCCAGCAGGTGTTCCATCGTCGTCGGTGGCTTCCACTGGCGGAGTGTGTCATCCTCCATCGAATCCCCGACCTGGGTCGATGGTTCGAGTGCCCGAGTTTTCTCAAAGCTCAGGATCGTCCGGTAGTAGCACCGGAGGAGCCAGTGGCTCTCGCCATGCTGGTCATTCTCGAAACTCATCATGGGATCTCCGGGTGTCGTACAACGGAAACGGAAGAAACTCACAATGGGCCCCTGGCCATTCGCGCACTGCATCGTTGGATATGATGCGTCATCATTCTCGAAATTCATCCGTAGATTTAAACAAGTATATCCGCAATGACGTTGGGCTGGTGTTCGGTCCTAGTCAATCATCTGGATGGTCGGACCCGATGCGTGTTCAAATCATCAAAGCGCATCACAATTGGATTTCGGTTGCATATGCGCACTTTGTCACGTGTTATCGATTGAAGGACTATTGTGGTTGGCAGCAGATTTTCATTTCACCCTACGTTGAACACCCGATCGAACGAATAGCTATAAACGCCAAGATGAGTCTAGCTACGTCGGCCGGTGAGCAGTCTCACAGTAAAATGGTAGCAATCTCATATGGCAGTCAGATACGGCTGTGGGGAATCTCGGAAGACGGAAGCAAGACTGACGTCGGCATTTTCAACCTTCACGTACGGGTTGAGTTTCTGTTCTTCATCGGTAGCCAGCTGGTGGCACTTTCGTCTTCGGGCAAGATTGGTGTATGGCATGCGATGACCCAGCACTGGCAAATTCAAGATCTGGTTCCGATTCTGTCGTTCGATACGGCTGGCTCTTTTCTGCTGCTTGGTTGCAACAATGGCTCGATTTATTATATTGGTATGTAACTAAGTTAGAATTTAATCAAGAGGTATAATCGTAGCTGCGGTGTGGTTTTACAGATATGCAGAAATTTCCATTGCGAATGAAGGACAACGATCTGCTGGTGACGGAACTGTACAAAGATCCATCGAATGATTCGATAACGGCAATATCCGTGTATTTGACACCTAAAACTACAAGTAAGTTCTGCGTTGGGCCCATTTTGCAGCACGGTTCTGGGTATTATATTCGGTGTAGACATATTTGTATTTGATTCATTTACACTGTAGGAACACTTGGTATTGTTCGCCGAAGGTTTCCGGAGTAGTGCTGTGCTGCATTGTATTTAGATTTCCTTTCATTTTATCTTGCCACTTTACCCCATTCCATTCTTCATTACAGTGTAATTTACATTGATTGGCTTTTCTCTTACTGTAGTTTGAATTTTCTTGCTGGAAAATCAGTGGTATTTTAAACGAATTTTCCGTACATTTTTTATATTGGAAACCTGTTTTGTTCGAAATCAAGGCGGACGAAAATTGACTGTTACAAAAATACCATTTGTGAACCATTTGCCGAGTTAAATTTAACTCGTGGTTAAAAGTGACATTTCGAAAGTTATTTTCTATGTTCGAAAATCCCTGTGCTGTCGATCGACCGGTTTTCGAGAAGAACTTAGCCAAGGTTGTCAAAATTTAACTTCTTGTCTGTCAGAAGTAACCACGCTCGGATAGCAGGGTTAATCGATAACTTTCCATCTGTCAAATTTTAACCAAAAGTTAAAATAATCCACCAAATGGTTCAGAGCCTTATACCCTGGACAGACTATGGCTTATATCATGTAATATAGACTGTCTTGCAATGAGCACTCATACATAGGATTTCCAGTGAAAACTAGATGTATGAGTGCTCATTGCAAGACAGCCTATATTACATGATATAAGTCATAGTCTGTCCGGGGTATTAGGCTGTGAACCATTTGCCGAGTTAAATTTAACTCGTGGTTAAAAGTGACATTTCGAAAGTTATTTTCTATGTTCGAAAATCCCCGTGCTGTCGATCGACCGGTTTTCGAGCCACGGTTGTCAAAATTTAACTTTTTGTCTGTCAGAAATAACCATGCTCGGATGGCAGGGTTAATCGATAACTTTTCATCTGTCAAATTTTAACCAAAAGTTAAAATAATCCACCAAGGCTGTGAACCATTTGCCGAGTTAAATTTAACTCGTGGTTAAAAGTGACATTTCGAAAGTTATTTTCTATGTTCGAAAATCCCTGTGCTGTCGATCGACCGGTTTTCGAGCAGAACTTAGCCAAGGTTGTCAAAATTTAACTTCTTGTCTGTCAGAAGTAACCACGCTCGGATAGCAGGGTTAATCGATAACTTTCCATCTGTCAAATTTTAACCAAAAGTTAAAATAATCCACCAAATGGTTCAGAGCCTTATACCCTGGACAGACTATGGCTTATATCATGTAATATAGACTGTCTTGCAATGAGCACTCATACATAGGATTTCCAGTGAAAACTAGATGTATGAGTGCTCATTGCAAGACAGCCTATATTACATGATATAAGTCATAGTCTGTCCGGGGTATTAGGCTGTGAACCATTTGCCGAGTTAAATTTAACTCGTGGTTAAAAGTGACATTTCGAAAGTTATTTTCTATGTTCGAAAATCCCCGTGCTGTCGATCGACCGGTTTTCGAGCCACGGTTGTCAAAATTTAACTTTTTGTCTGTCAGAAATAACCATGCTCGGATGGCAGGGTTAATCGATAACTTTTCATCTGTCAAATTTTAACCAAAAGTTAAAATAATCCACCAAGGCTGTGAACCATTTGCCGAGTTAAATTTAACTCGTGGTTAAAAGTGACATTTCGAAAGTTATTTTCTATGTTCGAAAATCCCTGTGCTGTCGATCGACCGGTTTTCGAGCAGAACTTAGCCAAGGTTGTCAAAATTTAACTTCTTGTCTGTCAGAAGTAACCACGCTCGGATAGCAGGGTTAATCGATAACTTTCCATCTGTCAAATTTTAACCAAAAGTTAAAAAAATCCACCAAATGGTTCAGAGCCTTAATGCGCACTTGATGGATGTGATGAACTCGGGTGAGGGGTTTCTGAAATAGTTGTAATTTTCGTTCTTTATTATAGAGACTTTCAGCCGTTGGCTGGTTCGTGTCTGAAAAAATAGTGTTGTGTCCAGAAGGGACCTCATCTAGTTACAAAGTTTTTTCTCCTTTTTTATCATATTAGGAGGTCTATAAGAGGCCTCCTCTAGTTAAGTACTGAGGCTGTCAATGTGCTGTCTTTCTTCGGACTTTTGATTGTTAAGGCTGTGAACCATTTGCCGAGTTAAGTTTAACTCGTGGTTAAAAGTGACATTTCGAAAGTTATTTTCTATGTTCGAAAATCCCCGTGTTGTCGATCGACCGGTTTTCGAGCCACGGTTGTCAAAATTTAACTTCTTGTCTGTCAGAAATAACCATGCTCGGATAGCAGGGTTAATCGATAACTTTTCATCTGTCAAATTTTAACCAAAAGTTAAAATAATCCACCAAATGGTTCAGAGCCTAAGTTGCTGAGGATCTTGCTTTGATTTGAGATGTTGGGTGATAAGAGAAAGTCCATTGGTATTGCGGTGGTCGGGATTTTGACAGGTTTCATATTTGATCGAAGAGGGCAGCCTCCCGGAGGAAGCCCATTAATGCTGTGATTCTAGTCGGGTCGTTACTCAGTGCGTCCCTAATGCTGCCCGGTATACCGTACAGCTCTCGTGAGCCTTCGTATTGAATACTGTGGCAGATTATGTATTCCACTGAACAGTTGATGCGGCAGAGCTCGCAAAATTTCCGCAACGGCCCGCTCCCTGAAAAGTTATGCGAGACTCTGGTATGGCCTGTTCTGAGTCTTGCCAGGGCAACCTGAGTTCGGTGGTCAGGGGGGTCTTCCCACCTTCATGTGTCAGTCCCAAATTTTGTTGGCAACCCATTTTTTCAGTTCTCCATTTGGAATCTCCCTGGTAAACAGTTGGGCTTGTCTTCCAGAAGCCGCTAGATGATCCGCCTCCGTATTACCACGAATGCCGCAGTGACCCGGAATCCATACAAATGTAGTGTTTCTGGGGGCATACCGCTGAATGGTTTGGATCTATGAGTGCTTGATAGAGTCTGAGTTGAGGGCTAGAACTACACTTGCGGGGTCCGTAAATACGGGAATCGGCTTGTTTGAGGGAGTGGTAGCAGCAATAAAAGCAGAGACCGCTTCTGCCGAGAATATAGTGTACTGTTCTGGAAGTCGATGAAGTACGGACATTTGGGGGCCCGTGATGCCAATGCCAACCCCTTCACGGGAAACTGATCCGTCGGAGTAACGGATAGTGTGGTTGCACTATCTGGTTCACTGGAGTTCCGCGACGGATCTCACAAGTGCTGTAGAGTTGGATCCTGCCTTGAACTTCTTCTTTATCGCCAAGTCAATAATGGGCCCGGGCAAGTTCCAATCTCTGCCTCCACACCAATGTATGCTAGACACCAGGGGGATCTCCAGATTGACGATGACTGAAAGGAGCTGTTTAGCCTCGGTAAGGAGGAAAACTCCATCATCTAAGACATCTGTCTTCACCTCGAAGCTAATTGATCGGTTGCAGATGGCTTGAGTAACTAGAAGGTTGAATGGTAGTACGCCACTTTCGATGCAAGCTGCAATTGCAGGTGTGGATGGTAGTAGACCGGATGAGATACGGATAGCTTGATGGTATGTAGAGGTTAGTTTTGTAATAAGTTGTACGCGAGCGAGACAGGTAACTTCGATTCCATAAAGGAGACGTGATTCCAAAATTGCTCTAGCAACTCGAAGCCGAATGGCCCGTCTGGGTGTCGACCTGCGATGGATCGTAGCAGATTAAGACGTGTCTTGCAGGCGTTCTTGACTTTGTCGAAGGTGGCAGAAAAGGTCAAATGTCGGTCGATTCTAACTCCGAGGATACGGGCTGACCTCCTGATGGGAATAGCTGTACCATTGATACAGACGGGAGTGTTAAGGACGACATGATGGTGAGGGCAGATGTGCACCAGTGTGCATTTTTCGACTGAGAGTTGGAAGCCAGTCAGTGATGTCCACAGGGAGACTGCGCTTGTGGCAGCGCCCATCTTTCTACGTAGTGCCTTTATGGTTTTGAGAGTGATCAGGAGGGTAATGTCGTCAATGATGTAAATTTTCCAGCCCAGTGGCAAGCGCGTAGGCAACATGTTATACGTTGACCGCGAGCCCAGCACAGCAAAATAAATGTTTTGAGCCCGGGACATGCTGCCTACTGTCAAACGCTGCTGTTGGTAAAGGCCTTGTCACTGGCCTGAAATTTCCTTAGGAAGGTTAAACCACATTCATACAAATTAAGAAAATGGTGACCGCGATAACCGAACCCTGCGGTACGCCCCAGTCTCCTCTCGGAATGTTGCGGAACGGTGGTTGCCCAGAAGTACCTGAAAGTTGCGGTTTGCCAAGAAATTCTTCGCGAAATGCTTCAGGTGCCCGCCAAGGCCCCAATCAGCCATTTGTCGGATGACATCTGGCATCCAAGCTCTATTATAAGCTTTTGCTATGGCTAAAGCTGCCAGTTTGACGTGGTGTCCACGCGAGGTAGCGTCGTCAAGAGCTTGAGCAAGTGTGGCGAAGTACGTGTTTTAGTACCGTGTCCTGGACGAAAAGCGCGTTGACGGTGGTCAAGTAGGTCCCTGGATTCTAGAAAGTTCATCAGTCGCCTATTTACCATCCTTTTCAAGATTTTGAAGGCACAGAATGTAAAGGAGATCGACCTGAAATCACTACCCGAGCAGAGAATGAAAACAAAATGCAAACTAAATTTGATATTTTGATACGAGCGTTCGTGATAACATATTTTGCCTACCGTGTGGTCGAGTTAAAAGTAATCATAACAAAAAATAAATCTAAATGCTATGTGAAGGATATTAAAAAGATAACAAATCATGTTTTCTTGATAACAAATCTATGTATGCGTTTTGATATCAGGCCATTTTCTAGCGAACCGAAACCTACATTCGCAAACCTACCACACAATCGGGTAGAGGAGAATTTTCCCTACCTGCCCATTTTGTTGGTTTGCGTTGGCGGCCTTTGGTTCGCGAGAAAATGGCCTTACAATGTTTGTTTACAAAATGGAGTTGAGGCCATTTCAATTGTTGGTCTTGATTTGTGTAATTGAAAATTCGAAGTAGAAGTGCATGTACAGCCTACGTGGCGGCCATTTGTGGACTCTACAAGGAATCACCTTAAGTGTAAATGTCACAATCGGGAAATTTTCCACAATTCCGGAAACAAACAGGAACGTATTGTTCGGAACCTGCAATAAGGAACATTGACATTGGCACAATAGTCATTTGGCATAATGGACGTTTGAAAAAACACATCTCGTACGTTGTTGACAAGTCGTCAAGGAGATTGGGTTCTATCTTCAGGATTGCAAAGAATTTCTCGAACATCTATTGCCTCAAGTCATTGTACTGTTCCGTGGTGCGACCCATTCTGGAATACTAAGGCCTATTCTGCGCGGCGTGTAAGGTGAGAGTCACCTTACGCGAGGTGACAATTGTGACTCACAAGTGACAGCATGTCACCTCACCTCACACGCCGTGCAGAATAGGTCTGACTGTTCAAACTACACACTTAAAATTTTTCGCTTTCCAACAGCCGAATTTATTGCAATTTATTTTGCTGAGATTCAATAAAACAATTGCCGAGACTCAGCTAACAAATAACATTTTGCTAAGATATCAGCTAACAAACAGATATTTAGCAGAGATATCAGCAAAAGTAAATGCCGAGTTAATCGGCTGTTGGATATTTTACCGAGTTAGATTAAGTGTGTACAGGCCAATGAGATCAACCCAAATTTGAGTTCAGTTTACTCATAATCGCAAAAAGTGCAGGAACTCAGCGATGAGTAAATTTGTCTCACGTTTTCCTGTGGAAAATCTAAAAAATCTGCCGGAAAATGAGGAAAATTTACTCAATCTAGTACTAGTACCAATAGACGGAGAGCATCCAATCTCTACTTTTCTCATATTCGGGATTTTTTTCCTGAAAAAACATGAGGCAAATTTACTCATCGCTGAGTTCCTGCACTTTTTGTGATTTATGAGTAAACTGAACTCAAATTTGGGTTGATCTCATTGGCCGTGTACAATAATGGTGCTGAGAGAATTAATTATATGATTTGAGTAGTAGCTATACTGAAGATCCGAGAGATGTCGCCCCTTCAGTGGTAGGAAAGTCATTTTTGCAGTATGGAGAATATCAGAAAATCCACGATTTGTGACTAAACATGCTTTCACAGAAGGAAACAAATAAACGAGTGTTTACCTTATCACCATAGTAATGTACCCGTGCAATTTTTGTGCATCTAAAACTGCCCATAAAGTGGATAATGAATAAAAACTGAAAATTTCCATGCATTTTCAAATGGTTTCCTACCATTCCCATACATTCGAAGTGACTGGCCCTCTGGATGTGGATGATGTCAAAAACAACAAAACATGATTAATTGAGTCCGTTCAGCGACATTTTCTTTGATTCGCTCTACGGAATCTACCTTGGAGAAATCCGTTTCACTTGCCTAAAAGTCGCTGCCAGTTGATCAGTCTGGAGCCTCTCCGAACTAGAAAAGACACTTCAAGGGCCCTGCTCATCGCGGACACATTACAGGGCAGAATTGATTGCACCGCAGTCTTGAAGCAAGTTAGCATCAACGTCCAGCCCCGAGCGCTGCGTAACAACGTTATACCATAGAGGTAACTCTAAGACCAGAAGGTCCCGAAGAAACGTACACAACTTTTTGGCTCAGCTCTGGTACTATCTTCGGTCCCAAGCTAATCGATGCACCCCTCGTAACATAGGAAAATCCACGAACCCCTCATTTTATCTGTCAAACTTTCATACACTCCAAAAAATATGCACGTCCGATCTACGTGAAAACATAGGTAGCTTTCGCCCATACTACTTTTCACGTAACATTTACGTTAATACCATGTAGCCAAAAATATTCCCATTTAGCGGTCAACGTGAACAGTAAGGTAAATATAACGTGATTTCCACTTAAGTTGGAAGCGGTTATCACGTAATGTTTACGTGATTTTGAAATGATATTTACTGGAAAATACTGTTCATCTTACGTTTACGTTCCGTGGTTTCCACTATAATTGCAATGGGTGTGCACGTAATGTTGACGTGATTTTGAAGTGATCTTTACCGGATCTAACAAATACTGTTTTCCAACTGTTGTCCAACTGTTTGTCCAAGAAAAGAATAATTAAACATTGTTAGCATTTTTTTATTAATACAATAAGTATGTCATTGAAACGTTAATACTAACCATTTCGCTTTTCCAACTTTTAATTGATCATGACAATTCAGATCTCGATTCAGATGCAATATTCGTTTGCACTGTTTACTGTCGAGTCAGACATTTGGAAAATGCCCATAAATTGTATCTTGTAATCCAACCTCTGAAATCGAAATAAATTTAATTAGCAGTGTATGACGGATTTCAAATAAAGCGAAATAATATAAAAATACCTTCAAACAGTTGCAGTATGCAGTTAAGGAATCACTTCTTCCATTAATAAAATCGATGCCGCCATATTGAATCCCTTTTTCATACATGTAAACCACGTAAACTCATTTTACGCAAGCACACCACAATCACTCAACCGCACATAGAAGTTTGATGGGAAAATGTTGTCACATTCATCATCAGCTCCAATGAACATGACATGATATATTTATCAATTTTACTACCATCATGTAACCATGAAAGTTGAACCATTCGAATGAACTACGTGATTTTTCACGTAGATTGAACGTGTATATGTTTTAGAGTGTACATGATTATCACTTACTTTTTACGTGAAATTCTCTTAGTATCAACGAACATGAATATCACGTAAATTTTATCAAAATGTAATTTAACATTAACGTGAGCCACGTGAAAATGATCGAAGTGGAGGGTTAAAGAGGTTACGTGATTTTTCACGTAGCATTAACGTGAAGATTTTTTAGAGTGTAGGGCATCAAAACAAACATAGTGTAGTACTAGAATTTCGACTAGAATGGGGTACGTTAATCGATTTGCTTGGGACCAATAGGCTATTCAAGTAGTGAGCCAATTTAAAATCGTTAGTATCCACCTGTAGGTTATACTTAAAGAGGCTGAATTTATAAAGAGACGATATGTCAAAATTGGAACAATCGATTATCTGTCAAAGTCATAGGAAAATTTATTCCAATCGAGCAGAAGACCTGTCGGGAATGAATACACATCACTTATCGCAGCTCTGTAATTATCACATTACTATCAGCATAACTTACCTCCTTGTAGCATAAGAGTCAATCGTTCGACTCACTTGTGGAATTCCTAAGTAATAGTGCTACAAATGACCTTAGCGAACAGAGCCACATGTTGTCCTATATGATTTATTTTCTTTCTGTTCTTCACAACGTCAAAATGCATACAATAAACTGCACTACATAGCACATCTTTAATTCCTACTTCTATCGCACCACTCACATGCAAATGCACATATCCAACACCACTACTTGCATTCAACACTCTGAAAAAAAAATCTGCACCGTAATTCGGTCACAACCTCTATTCCATTCGAACAATACACAAAAATCAATAGGCATCTACCATGATCATCATCAGTCTCACGGTTAACCCAAAAGTCTTATTTATTTTCTTGTTTTTATAATTCTTCCTATAATTTAAACATGTTAGTACCGGGAGATAAAGAAGGTAATCATTTTCAACTCTCAGTTGACTATTTTCAATTACAACCATTCAAAGTGACGACTATTGTTTATTTTTCTCATTCGTTCAAGCTTGAATTCAGTTACTCACGCTACAGCTATTTTGACCATTCAATTGTGTCTTCTATGTCCTCCGATCTTTGCTTGAAGCTGAATCAGTTCGGAACTGATTGAATATTAATTCTCATCTTGTTCTTTGCTTTCATAAATCATCATTGGACAAACAACATAACCAACAAAAAAAAATTTAAATGTTTTGCCACCTTTAAACACGAAACGCAACATTACTTTTACCGAACCGATACACTTGGTTCATTCGAGTGTGGACATTATTCAAGTAGTGGTGCTGGCATGTGTTGTTTCCTCTGTTCACTGCATCCAAGACCCGTTGTTTATTATAGCTTGTTTGTGTGTTTCCTTTGTAAATCATTGTTCCAATGCAACTTGTTCTGCGATCGCTGATGCATATTCCGATATCACCCACAGGTCTATCCGGAAACTGGATTGAGATCGCCTACGGTACCAAGTCGGGCTCGGTGCGTGTGATAGTGCAACATCCGGAAACCGTTGGCCATGGACCTCAGCTGTTCCAAACGTTCACCGTTCATCAAAGTCCGGTGACGAAGGTTACTCTGTCGGAGAAATTCCTGATCTCGGTCTGCAGCGAATACAACCACGTTCGCACTTGGCAAGTTACGCGCTTTCGGGGCATGATCTCCACTCAGCCTGGCTCGACGCCGGAGGCTTCTTTCAAGGTAACATCTACGACCAATGCTAATGTATTCAAAAGCACTTCTGATTTCGGTACGCATTTGCAGATCGTTTCGTTGGAAGCTGTAGACTCCACCTACAGCTACTCGGCCGGCAACGATTTCGGTCCGTTCGGTGAACAAGATGATGAACAGATTTTCGTACAAAAGGTGGTTCCCGATACGGATCAATTGTACGTGCGCCTGGCCTCAAACGGGGAACGTGTCTGCTTGGTCCGTTCCGTTGATGGTACTACCATCACCTCTTTCTGCGTGCACGAGTGTGAAGGATCTTCCCGGATGGGTTCTCGACCACGCAGGTTCATCTTGTCCGGCCACTGCAACGGAGCGATACAGATGTGGGATCTCACCACGGCGTTGGAAATCTTCAAGAAAAAGGATCAGAACAAAAAGCTGATCGGTGGTCCAACGGCGGACGAACTGATTCGCCTACTGGACCAATGTGATCTGAGCAATAGTCACTGTTCGACTCCATGCATGTCACCGTGCCCCTCAGCGATCTCGACAGGAGCGGCCACGGTAGCTAGACTAAAACCGTTCAATGTTGCATTTCTGAATCAGTCGGCAGCGGCTGCCGCAGCCGCAGGACCAGTTTGTGTCCAACCAAACCCGGACCAACCGAACTGATCTATGCTGAGGCGACGAAGAGGACTTTGAAAGTGGTTATGCTGCCACCTTCAACTGTACGATTGAACGATCTTAATGTACTACCGCATGTGATCGAGTGGTGCAAAAGCGCCTCGCATCGATTACACAGGCAAGTTAGAATCTATATCCTGTAATTGTGATTTTATCCTTGTAACGAATACGTCACTGGACATATGGCTCTGCTAGGGTCATCACGATTATATTGAAAGTGATTTTTGCACTCTTATGCATTAAATATTACTACAATAACACTATTCGAGTTATCAATATTTAAACATAGTCAAATCCAGATAGTGTAGCGCAGAATTATATTTTTAATAAAAAGGAGAAAATTTAAAATGTATAAGTCTAGCATTTAGATGACATCCCTACACTATAGTCGCTATATTCATAGTCTGGCGGATAGAATCTCGGGAACCAATTGAGCTGTCAAATAGCGGAACCAATCGAGCAAATCACGACCAATAACAGAAAAGTGCACATCAGCTATTGCCAACAAAACTTCGAAAACCGTTTTCTCGTGACTCAAGGCTCGCCTACGCAAACTAACACCATCTTTGGGTTGAGGAAAGTTTCCCCTATCCGACGACGCTGGTAATTTACGTTCGATTAGCGAGGAAAGAATAATCAACGTTTTGTTTATAAAAGTTCATAGTACCTTTTCAATTATTGGTCTACAATATATTGAATTTGTTCCGCTTTTTGATAAATCGAAATTCTATCCGCCAGACTATGAATATAGCGACTATACCCTACACTGCCCTGTGCGGCATAAAAGTCCCATTAGCATTTTCGGTGAAAATGAGTTATACGTTTTGTAATCGATTGTCAAGTACCATCACTTTACAATGTACACGAAAAGTGTCCTACTTTTTTTTCAGATAATGTCGCGAAAAATGTTTTAACGAATGGGGCAACTATGCTGAAAAGGGCAGTACACATGTACCCGAATTTTACATTAGCGTTGACGACTGTCTTCAGGGTGGCCAGCGAACCGGGAAAACCGGGATATATCCGGGAATTTGAAAAGTAACCGGGAAAACACCGAGAATTCGATGAGAGAACCGCGAAAAAATAAATTAGACACACCATAGGAATATATTATATATTTTTCAAATTGATTTTTGCGATTCAATTTCAGATGTAAAGTGCATGTGCCTTAAAACAAAATATTGAAGATGCTGGACTTAAGAAACAAATATTTGTAAAAACTGAAACTGAACTATTATTTGCCCGAGTTTTAATTTTATTATAAATTCTCATGATATGAATTTCAGAATGAACTTGGAATTCTTCTCTGAATTATTATATGATTCTTTTAAAATTAACCAGAAAACACTCTGCATGATAATTACAATTGAATTCTTTTTGGAATTTCCTTGAAACCGCTTCTAAGAAATTGTTTGGAATCCGTCTTAGAATTCACTTAAACCTATTCGGAGACTTTGATTTCATTGAAATCCTTTTCAAAATTTTCTTTTAACTCTAGCATAAATCTTTCGAAATTATTTAGAAACCTCTTGGAGTATTTTAAAGAATTTCTTTCTAATTATTAGCAATTTTTTTGCAATAAATTTTGTTGGAGCTCTTTGATGAATCATTCACACTAAGGTTGAAATTATCGCCAGAACACTCTTAGAACTCTGTTTCTTGTTGAATTATCATCTTAATTCTCTTGGGATTCTTCAAAAATTACCTAATAATTTAATTTAGAACTTGCAATCTTCTCCACAGAAATCCCTCCAAATTCTGCTAACAATTTCTAAGGACTTCATGTCAGAATAATTCTGGTATTCTGCTCTGAACTTCTCCTTCGAAAACTATGTGAGATCCTCCTCAATATATTTTTGAAATCAACACTATGAATACTTTTAAATTTTCTGAAAATTTCGCAAGATTCTATCGATTGTTCTGTAATTTGTTTTAACTCTTAAAATACTTCCAAGTCTCAGAACCTTGACAATTATGACTGCACGACTATTTAATAAATATGATATTTTTTTTCAAATCTGTGATCTTGGAAGATTTTCAAACTCTCATATTTTAACTATTTTTTTTTCTCTAAATCTTGCATCACGAAGATTGTTATTAATCCCAAATTTTGAAGAAAAGTTCTTTTTTCAGACCCTACACAAATTTCAAAGCCCCAGAATCTTGGGAATCTATCTTTTTAGTAAATAATCTTTCAGTGAATACACATCTTCTCTATCCGATATCACTATCAATTTGCTCTAATTCTCATTTGTACCAAGTTAATTTTTCTGAAACATTTTTTAAATTTAATCTCATTCTTCACAATTCACCTATTATATAACCTATTTATCCAGATAGCATTTGGCCCAGTGACCTTAATCTCTGTCACTCAATCAATTCTAGGGCTTTGAAATCATAAGATGTATCGATCATAAAAAGTGGTAGAATTCGATTTATCAAAGTATCGATCAATAAGTGGCTCATAGAGTTGAATTTTTCCTATAGCTTCAGAAAACACTTTCTGTAATTTGGCTTTCATTTTTTCCACAAATAACCACTGAAAATTTACAGTTGGCCACGTTTTAAAAAATGCGTACGGTTTCGTTTTTTGTTGAATATTAACAAACGGGAAATTTTTAAGATTTGAACCGGGAAAACCGGGAATTTCAAAATGAAAAATCACTGGCCACCCTGCTGTTTTTGAGCTTGGAGACTATCTTTACTCCAACGGTGTTTCTCATTTACATGTGTGTGAAAAAAAGCAAAAAATCTTCCCTCCTTCACTTTCTCACGTAAATCCGCAAACAAAATCATCACACTCGTAAACGCCAAATTCATGAGGTTTGTCCAGCTCCACTAAAGATTTTTTGCATGGATTCATCTGAATTGTACACACACGAAGCTGGACAAGATTTTCATTTATTTTATCCGCGCTAGCCCAAACTTGTTTTGTGGATGTGTGATGTTGACGAGTACGTTAATAATTTGATTAAATGTCAATCAATTCTATAACCGAGAAATGCGCATTTTGTTTCCATCGCAAATGTGAAAACACCAGTCCTTGAATCATGTTCACAATCTTCCTGTTCAGGGAACTTCACAGTTTTCAACTCTCTGGAATAAAGGGTGTCCACGATGAAATTGCCACACTATGAAATTGCTCTAACTTTTTAACCGTTGGGTAGAATTTAATGAAAATTTGGGTGGATTTAGTTCATAGTGCATTATTTACATCCTGCAAGTTTTAAAGTCCTGTGATCAAAACTCGCGGAAATGGAGTCGAAAGAACAGCTCGTGCGTGATAAAATCTTGCGCATTCATCACGAGAACAAGGATCTCTCGCATCGTTCCATCGCTAAAACGTTGGGAATCGCGAATTCCACGGTGTCGCGAGTGAATAAGCGGTTCGAGGAACGGTTGACCACCGATCGGAAGCCCAGAAGTGAAGGAAAAAGTATTCCGTACAACACCAAAAATCACAACCGCGTAGTTGGGGCTTTCAACCGAAATCCGAACGCCTCCGTTAGGGATGTGGCTAAGAAGCTGCACCTAAGCCGAAGTTTTGTACAGAAGGCCAAAACTAAGGCTGGGCTTCGAACGTTCAAGGTACAAAAGGCCCCTAATCGCGCATCATGGACGACGAAACATATGTGAAGGCCGACTTCAAACAGATCCCCGGCAACCTGTTTTTCACGGCCAAGGATAAGTTCAGCGTTCTGGAGCATGTCCGCACTCAGAAGATGTCCAAATTTGCGAAGAAATTCCTGGTTTGGCAAGCCATCTGCACGTGCGGGAAGCGGAGTGCACCTTTCGTGACCCAGGACACGATGAACGGACAGGTGTACATAAAAGAGTGCCTCCAGAAGCAGCTGCTTCCTCTCCTGAAGGCCCACAACGTCCCAACAATCTTCTGGCCGGATTTGGCCTCATGCTACTACTCCAAGGACGTGCTGAAGTGGTATGCGGACAATAAGGTCAATTTCGTGCCGAAAATGTTCAACCCTCCCAACACTCCGGAGCTCCGCCCCATCGAGAAGTACTGGGCGATTATGAAGCAGCACCTTCTTAAACGACCTAAGATAGTGAAGACAGTCGAGGAACTGAAGAAAGTATGGATTTACATGCAAAAAACGGTTGATTCACAGGTTGTGCAGAATCTTATGGCCGGGGTTAAGGCCAAGGTGCGGGCATTTGCGTATGGACTGTAAATAAAATACGAGTAAAATGGTAAAATGAAGTTTAATAGTTATTTCTCAATCCCTGAAAATTCGATGGCAATCGGATGAAAACTCGAATTTTGCGAATCAATTTTGTGTGTGGCAATTTCATCGTGGACACCCTTTAGAACGCATCTGCTGAACAAATCAGTTGTCCTCAAATCGGAAATAAGCCGCTTCGGCAGCATCGGTAACTGCCCGATGAAACTAAATCAGCGAGAGAGAGTCATTATAAGGTACGCTGATTATTTTAGAAAAACATTAAAAATTTAACGTTTTTTCACTTGTCCAATTGCCAGGCACAATAAACAACAGAGTGTATACGACAAACGCTCACGCGACAGACGTTAACATTTATGTTTTTTTTTTTTTTTTTTTTTTTCTTTATTTTAGAGATTTTTAGCCTGAGGCTAGTTCATCTCTTGTTAACATTTATGGTTATGGATTTAATAATCAACAAAAACCCTAATTCCACACTAGTGTTTGAAAGTCACCCCGTTTGACGGTACCTAATTGTTTTTTTTTTCAAAGTATTTATTTGGTATGCTCAATATCTCTTGGAGCTAAACGGAGCTGAGGGACTAATTTTTTTTTCAATGCAATTAGGTATTTAGATCTTGATTTTTCTTCTCCTTGGCTGCGCGTGCCGCCGATCCGCCTAATGTTCTACCGTCCTTTCGGGTTACACTCTTTGCACCACAAACGAAGTGACAGACGGAGCAGCTCGAAACTTTGGTGACGCACCTGCTATTGCAATTTTTCAGTGTACCACATGGCAACACCACTACTACTGGATTGTACCACATGACAACACTACTACCACAAACGAAGTGACAGACGACTAACTGGCAAAGAAATCCATTTAAATAATGTGGTTCACTGTAATAGAATTTTCTTGGAAGCTTGTGCCATCATCCACCAGATGGGTTAGTTTTTTTGTTTTGATTTGAACAAAGTTGATTTTGTGTACAATGATTCTTTGACAGTGTGCAAAGAGTGTATCATTTTGTCATTTTTTTATGCATTTCAGTTTTGAGTAGAGTGAAAGAGATAGAACCGAAACATTCTAATACATTTGGTGAAAATGCTAGTACAATCCAGTAGTAGTGTTGCCATGTGGTACAATCTAGTAGTAGTGGTGTTGCCATGTGGTACACTGAAAAATTGAAATAGCAGGTTAGTCACCAAAGTTTTCGAGCCGCTCCGTCTGTCACTTCGTTTGTGCTACTACTGGATTGAACTAGCATTTTCACCAAATGTACTAGAATGTTTTGATTCTATCTCTTTCACTCTACTCTAAACTGAAATGCATAAAAAAAATGACAAAATGATACACTCTTTGCACACTGTCAAAGATCATATTGCACACAAAATCAACTTTGTTCAAATCAAAACAAAAATACTAGCTCATCTGGTGGCGCTTCTAAGAAAATTCTATTACAGCGAACCACATTATTTTAATTGATTTCTTCGCCAGTTAGTCGTCTGTCACTTCGTTCGTGCTCTGAGTATTTCTAGTTTCCACCTCTTTCGACACATTTTTCTTCGTCCTTATTTTTGTTCAAATACGGTTGTTTTCCAAGCTGCATCTGCTGTTTCCGGGCCTTCCGCTTGAGACAGGAACTCATCCGGCGTCCCTTCGCCTTACATAGAAAGCATTTGTACTTGTCTCCCGAATGGAATATGTTCCCCATCCTATTAAGGAAATTAAGCAAGGAGGGAATCCCCCTTTTCACGTCCATGTAAACACCTCGCACTCCTGTGAACATATCGAGGCCCAATGCAACAGGAATTTTTTTCCCGAATGGCATGCTTTACTTTCCCTTACTTTCCTACCACCAACGTTAGATCCCCATCTAGTACTATTATAGTTTAAAGAGACGTTAATAGACTTATCCACTTATCCCATCTAGTACTTCTGGTTGAAGGCCGTACAACCAACAATCAATACGAAACTAACGATTTTAAATTGGCTCACCACTTTAGTAGCCTATTGGTCCCAAGCAAACGATTAACGTACCCTATTCTAGTTGAAATTCTATTACTACACTATGTTTGTTTTGATTCGCTATGAAAGTTTGACAGATAACATCAGGGGTGTGTGGATTCATGCAGAACATGCAGGGGTGAGTGAAATAGCTTGGGACTGCTTGGGACCGTTGTTCTGGTACTGAGTGAGCCAAAAATAATAATGATTTTCTTCGGGACCCAGTGGTCTTAGAGTTACCTCTATGGTACAACACTCGCACGAATTGAACGTTGCCCCGCCAGCGACATTCGTACCTTAACTGTGAGCATAATGGAAAGTTAATTGCTCTTGGTTATGCATCAGAGCATAATCAGGCCTATTCTGCGTATGAGCTGAGGTGACTTCCCATTTGATTTGCATATCCACTAGTGATAGCGAGTCACCTCACCTCACAAACCGCGCAGAATAGGCCTAAATGCATACATGCTTCCGATTTAAATTTGATGAAGATCGCTCTTCCTCCACAATGGCAATCATGCCAATAGGATTCGTGTCCAGCTGGGTACTGCGGAGTCAATCGATTTTATATTGCAAGCCAATGGGCATTAGGGCGTAACAACTTTTGTAAATAATGACTTCTTTCGATGATGTCTTGAAAATCAAGGTTCGCCACGCAAATCAACATCACCATCTGGTAGGGTAAGACTTCCCCTGCCTGACGGTAATGTTGGTTTGCGTGGGCGTGCCTTGAATTCCTAGAAATCATCGAGAGAAGTAATTGTTTACAAAAGCTGTTACGCCCAAATTCCAGCTCTATCTAGAATTTCTTGAAAAAATTTTCAAGTGTAAAATTGGTTTTGATATTTCTCAGTAAGTTCATTCCCGCCAAAAGCTCTGAGCCAGGAGTGCTTGAGCCTCCATGACTCTACTAAAGTTTGTTTAAGTACCTGTTCGCCAACGTATGTTTTATTGTGATTGAAAACCCAGCTGAGTCATAAAAACTCTGCTGGTTTATATCAACAATCAATACGAAACTAACGATTTTAAATTGGCTCACTACTTGACTAGCCTATTGGTCCCAAGCAAACGATTAACGTACCCTATTCTAGTCGAAAGTAGTAGCACAAACGAAGTGACAGACGGAGCGGCTCGAAAGCTTTGGTGACTAACCTGCTATTTCAATTTTTTAGTGTACCACATGGCAACACCACTACTATTGGATTGTACCACATGGCAACACTACTACTAGATTGAACTAGCATTTTCACCAAATGTACTAGAATGTTTTGGTTCTATCTCTTTCACTCTACTCAAAACTGAAATGCATAAAAAAAATGACAAAATGATACACTCTTTGCACACTGTCAAAGAATCATTGTACACAAAATCAACTTTGTTCAAATCAAAACAAAAAAACTAACCCATCTGGTGGATGATGGCACAAGCTTCCAAGAAAATTCTATTACAGTGAACCACATTATTTAAATGGATTTCTTCGCCAGTTAGTCGTCTGTCACTTCGTTTGTGGTAGAACTGCCGATAAAGCGATCGAAACAAGAAGTGTTGCTGAGTCCACAGCTGAAAACAAACTGATAGCTAATTGTTTGTAAATTGTTGTAAAATGCGACAATCGACATCGATTTTCTGTCGTTGTTGTTGTCGAACGTTTCGCGAACAACAAGTACCCTACTTGTTTATTAGACCACCATAAACAAAATGAGAACATAGGAATTTCTTTACAAGAAACAACACGCACAAAATTAGTCATACATTATTAAGGATAATATTTTAAATCAAATCATAAAATTGAATGCAACCAATGATTACTGCTGATGCTGGGGACATGTAATTCAGGTGTCCCACATCTTACAACACCATCAGACGAGGTGCTATGTTCATAGACATCAGCTCTTGGAACAACAGCTTAGCAGCGTACGGTAGCTTCACCTGTGATATCTGTTGAAAAGCGAAGTTGATTAAATTATGCCATTTGCTAACGCAATCAAAGTTTGAAATTACCTGAGTCTTATTCTTGCATCCCTTGCACTCGAACGTGTTGTTCCGCATATTGGCGATCGCAATCAGCCCGCAGAAGTTGCACACATGTATCCGGTAGGGATCGGACACCTCGAACAGACGCTCCCTCAAGAACTGGGCAGCACCGTGAGAGATTTGACAATCACGTTCCATCTCACCGAAACGTAGACCACCGTCACGGGCACGACCCTCCATAGGCTGTCGTACCAGAATCTGCACCGGACCACGGGCACGCGAGTGAATCTTATCGTCCACCATATGCTTCAAACGTTGATAGTAGGTAGGGCCAAGGAAAACCTGGGCATTGATCTTACGACCAGTGTGACCGTTGTACATTACTTCGTTGCCACGGAGTTGATAGCCGTATTCCTGCAGGAAGGTAGAAATCTTCTGCACGTTGACAGCATCGTTGAACGGAGTGGCGTCACCGATTTCTCCCTTGTTCGAACCCAGCTTACCCTGGATACACTCGATCAAATGGCCAATTGTCATACGCGACGGAATGGCGTGCGGGTTAATGATGATGTCCGGTGTGAGTCCCTCGCAGGTGAAGGGCATATCTTCCTGACGATATTGGATACCACAGGTACCTTTTTGACCGTGACGGGAGGCGAATTTGTCACCGATCTGTGGAATACGAACCGAACGGACACGGATTTTGCAGAACTTGTAGCCTTCGCTGTTGAGGGTCAACATGACTTGATCGACGATTCCCGTTTCGGAATTACGTAGGAAGGTGGAACCGTCTCGCTTGGTGTAGCGTTTGGTGGTTCCATCCAGGTCGTCTTCAGTATCGGGAAGGGTTATAGTTTTTCCAATGACCACGTCGTCACCGGAGACACGAAGTCCTGGAGCAATGATACCGTCTTCGTCCAGTTTGTCGTAGAGGGCATTTCGCATACCTTGGCAGCTTTGACGGTTCGGTTTTTCAAATTGTTCTTCTTGGTCGCCAATTTTTTTGCTTTCGGAATCCTTGTATGAACGGTAAAACACCGATCGGAAGAAGCCACGCTCTACGGCGGATGCGTTCAAGATGACAGAATCTTCCTGGTTGTAACCGGTGTAGCAGAGAATGGCTACGATCGAGTTGATACCGGCCGGGAGCTCACGGAACCGTAGATATTCCATGGAACGGGTAGTGACGAGTGGCTTCATTGGGTAGTAGAGTACGTGGGCAAGTGTGTCCATCCGGACGTGGAAGTTTGTAATGTAGACGCCCATAGCTTGCTTACCCATAGCACTTTGATAAGTGTTACGAGGACTCTGATTGTGATCGGGGAATGGAATAATGGACGCGCAAACACCGAGGATCATAGCCGGATGGATTTCGCAATGTGTGTATGTCGTACAGTATGCGTACTCTTTGTCCTGTTTCAAATCATATGGGGTCATAGCGATCATGACGGTTTCCTCTTCCAATGTGTCTATGTATTCAACGACACCGGAGGCAACCAGCACCTGCCAACCGTAGTTGTTGTAGTCGCGATCCTTTAACATATCCACGTGATTTTTGCGTAGCAACAGGCTTCCGTTTTCGACAATCAGCAATGGTCTGCAAATACGCCCAGCATCTGTGTAGATTCGAATCTCTCGGTCTCGGATATCCCGAATCATAGATACTTCGGATACGATGATATCCATCTGACGACGCAGTTTCCTAAGGGTGGCCATCAACTGTTCGGGATCACGATGAATTCCGACCCAGCAACCGTTAACAAAGATCTTGGTCGCATCGGCAATGGCGGACGGAGCAATTTCTTCCAAATTTTCCATGGACCACTCCTCCAAGAACTCAAGAATGGGCGAAGGTTGCGATCCGACAGAAATGTAGGCCATAAGGGCTAGGTTCTTTACCAATCCGACAGCAGCACCTTCCGGTGTTTCGGCTGGACAAATCATACCCCAAAGAGTATTGTGCAACTGACGAGGCTTGGCCAATTTACCGTCACGTCCAATCGGAGAGTTGACGCGACGCAAATGGGACAAGGTGGAGGCGAATGTAAGTCTGTTCAATACCTGAGACACTCCAGCACGGGCCTGATGAGCCTTCTTCTGATCTCCCCAATTACCCGTGGCCAACGAATAACGCAAGCCATCGGTAATGATCTTTGTCTTGATTGCCAGCTCCAGATTGAAGTCTTTTCCACGATCGATGAACTTTTGGGAATACATTCGGACTTCCTTCATCAGATTCTTGAACAATCCTCGGAACAAGAACGCCAACAATGGTCCGGCCAAATCCAGTCGTTTGTTTCCGTAGTGATCACGATCGTCCAGTTCACGGCGACCCAAAGCAGCCAGGAGCAATCGATGTACCATGTAGCCCAGAAAATATGCCTTCTTCGTTTCGCAGAAATCCGAAACACCCACATGGGGTAACATTTCCTTCTGCAGGATTTCCTTAGCGTACTTAATACGTTTGTCCTTGGTGACACCAGGCCGGGCACCTCTCGCACCAATAAAATTCAACGCCACATTCTGCTCTTGCACCACGAAAGCTTCATCCAACGATGGCTTAACCATTTCCATCATCTCCGGATCGTCAAAGTCGTAGATAATGTGCTCTAGAATATCACGATCCGCCACGAACCCCAGAGCTCGGAACACGATCATAATAGGAATTTCCTGTTTGACGTAGGGCAAAATAGCAATCACTCGCTGACCAATGGCCGACTTTTTGATACTCTGACCACCACGAGCCATCATGTTACACCAAAGCGTGGAAGTCGGACGCGAACTGTGCTCCAAGCAGGAACGAATTTCAGACTTGTACGCGTATTTTCCATCCTTCATGCTGAACACGTACACGGTATTGGTGGCCATTTTCTCCTGAGCAATCAAAACCTTCTCTGAACCGTTGATGATGAAATAACCACCCGGATCGAGAGGGCACTCGTTCAATTCTGTCAAATCACGATCCGTCAGTTGGGACAGCAAACAGTACGTCGAACGCAACATGATCGGAATTTTTCCAATGAACGTTTTCTGGTGTTGAGTTTCAACCGGATCTTGACCTTCGACGATTTTGGTTTTAGTAATGTCCACGTACAGGGGAGCAGAGTAGGTCAAATTGCGAAGGCGAGCTTCGTTCGGCATCATAGGCGACGGGGAACCATCCTTTTCCCAATGGGTTGGCTTCGAAAGGTAAATCTGGTCGAATTTCAGAACGTATCGAGTCTGAAACAAAAGAAACAATCAAATGACGTTCTCAACAACCACTACCTTGATTGAACATACCGGTGTTTCAATATCCCCTGAAGTGTGCTGCGCTTCGGCCGCCAATTCAATTGCCGGGGAATCTTCCACAATACGTTGAACGGACATCTAGAAACAAAAAAAAAAAGGGTTTAGTTTGCATTACGAGTAGACGATCTAGTATTTATTACCTGAATGAATTCGTCGAAACTGTCCAGCTGCTGCCGCACCAGACCCTTTTCGTCGAAATAAGCGTTGATCACGATCCAGCAGGCTTCCTGCCACAGTTCGTGAGAGATTTCCTCTGGATCCTCCTCCTCGAAGTGATCCCCTGCAACAAGAGAAAGGTCGAATAATCAAAATGAGTCTCCGCCATCATTCTTCTTATTATTCATGCCAGACGGAAGATTTTCACAAGATTCTAGTTGCTGGAAAAAGGCTTAAAACCAATCAATTTTCATCCCATCTTACCATCTTCGTTTTCAAACATCGCTATTCTAGCGATTTACGATATTTTCCGACGAAATTGAGACTTTTTTCTAGTTTTAATGAACGATTAAATTTTCAATAAAAATGATGCGTCGTTACTCTCGTGCGGCTTTCCCACGAACTTGCGGTCGAAAAACGCTATGATGGCGATTTTGACAATTCGGAAACTGCCAGGGCTAAACTTAGGAAAGTACACGGAAATAAGAAACCCCTGAAAATATGGTTGTGTTTCATTTCAGTACCAACATTCCAAAAGAGCGAAACTGATAAATGTACACAAACTAATACCCTGGACAGACTATGGCTTATATCATGTAATATAGGCTGTCTTGCAATGAGCACTCATACATAGGATTTCCAGTGAAAACTAGATGTATGAGTGCTCATTGCAAGACAGCTTATATTACATGATATAAGCCATAGTCTGTCCAGGGTATAAGGCTGTGTTCCATTTGGTGAATTTTCACTTAAAGTTGACAGATGGAAAATTTTCAAATAAACCTGCTATTCCAGCAGACTTATTTATGACAGACAAGGAATCAACTTTGACAGACGCTTTCTCGAAAATCGGCCGATCAACAACAGAGGGATTTTCGAACATCTTAATTTATTTTCGAAGTGTCAAATTTAAGTGAAAATTTTACAAATGGAACACAGCCTAAGTCTTTTTTTTTCCCACTAATCTGTTTCCCTCTTACTCGCACTCGTTCGATTTAAATGGTGCAGTAGTGTGCGCCGATTCAACGTCAAAAAGCTCTATATAAATCAGCCCAGTGGCAGGCGCGTAGGCAACATGTTATATCGTGACAGCGGGCCCAGAACAGCAAAATAAACGATTTGAGCCCGGGACATGCTGCCTGCTGTCAAACGCTGCTGATGGTATAGGCCTTGTCAGTGGCCTGATATAAATGGACAGCAAATGGTAATGGTTATGGTAGTCAGTAAAATCCATGGATGATTTTGAAACATCGATCAACTTTATGTGGAATATATCGTGAATTGGATCCGGGAAAAAAAAATACAATTACCATAAAATAGTATAAAATCACAAAAAAACAAAATCTATTGCCAACATTCGATCGTATTGTAAGGCTGTGTTCCATTCAAGGTTCCATTAAATGTTTGTCGACTTTTGACTTAAATTTGACAGTTGTGAAATTTTCAAATATTCCTGCTATCTAGCCTGCATTGTACCAGACTTATTTCTGACATACAAGTAATCAATTTCATCACACATCTTTTCGAAAATTGGCCGATAAACAACAGAGGGATTTTTGAACATCTAAATTTATTTTCGAAGAGTCAAATTTAAGCGAAAATTCTGCAAATGGAACACAGCCTAAGCATCCGATGGAAACTAACGATTTTAAATTGGCTCACTACTTGACTAGCCTATTGGTCCCAAGCAAACGATTAACGTATCCCATTCTAGTCGGAATTCTAGTACTAAACTATGTTTGTTTTGATTCGCTATGAAAGTTTGACAGATAAAATGAGGGGTTCATGGATTTTCCTATGTTTCGAGGGGTACATCGATTAACTTGGGACCGAAGATAGTACCAGAGCTGAGCCAAAAAGTTGAGTAAGTACAATATATTCTATTGTATGTTGTCACATGAAAATCATGTGGACTTGGATAATTTAATTTTGAAAAATATCTCTAATCAAAAATACCATAAACGAACTGTATCTCGGATGGGTCAACTATTCCACAAATGGTTTGGATGATACCCCGAAAACGTCGTTAAGTTCTATTTTATAGTTATTATTATTAGGGATATCAGATTCATCCCGATTTTTTAATCAAGATTTGAATCAAAATAATAATTTCACTGTTTGACACTAAACTTATAAATAGACAGCTCACTCCCATACAAAGTCCCACCAAGGGGCACTAATATGGTGATTTTTGCTAATGTAATTGCACTCATTTAAAATTGTTCCAGTGTATCAAAATTGATGAAAATGCAAATCTGTGTAACTTGCAGTTTTGGTTATTTCGGTTCAGATTAAGAATACGCTGATAAAAAGTCAATGATTGTTTCTATGTGTTCAACACATAGATTTTTGCAATTAGATTTATAATATAGTTTCTATATGCCAGACACATAAATCTCACTTGCACACCCGCATAAACGCGAACCATAAATTGACCTTACCTAAAATGGTTAAAAATTGTTTATAATCCCTGCTAAACTTTAACTGAAATGGTTATGGAACTTTACATGAACGTTTAATGATAAAGTTTCAACCTTATGTATTATGGTTTTTTGGAACTGGACCTTACAAATAACGGGTTGTTAAGAACCATTACCGTTCCAAATTCTTGTTTTCTCCATACATTTTCGGAAAGAGAACTATATTAGAACCTTTTAACTTATGGTTTGAGAACTTTAATGGTAATGGTTATGGTAGTCAGTAAGGTCCACGAATGGTTTTGTAACATCGATCAACTATATGTAGAATATATCGCGAATTGGTTGCCTGTAATTTACTGATTACCAATTCACGATATATTCCACGTAAAGTTGAGCGATAATACAAAACCATTAATGGACCTTACTGACTACCATAACCATTACCATTAATGTTCTCAAATCATAAGTAAAAACGTTCTTATATAGTTCTCTTTCTGAAAATGTATGGAGAAAACAAGAATTTGGAATGGTAATGGTTCTTAACAACCCATTATTTGTAAGGTCCAGTTCCAAAAAACCATAATACATAAGGTTGAAACTTTATCATTAAACGTTCATGTAAAGTTCCATAACCATTTCAGTTAAAGTTTAGCAGGGATTATAAACAATTTTTAACCATTTTAGGTAAGGTCAATTTATGGTTCACGTTTATGCGGGCATATCATCTCTATATGTGATCACACATACTGTTTATATGACACATAATCTGTATGTGTTTTGTTCCATGATATCTAATTATGTGTGGCCAAATGAATATTATGCTTAATATTTTATAGAAATTTTCTGTTAGCTATGTGTGGATTTTTACTAGTGCATGCATTTACCTCAATACCCCTAAAGAACCCGATTTCACATGGAAATTCGTCAATCAAAATGTGTGGATTTTTATGAGAGACGATTTTTCCATGGTGCCATCAACGCCAATTTATTCAATTATGGGTTGTTTAACTTCGAATAATATACCAATTTTGATACTTCATCTGATAGAACTTCGTTTTCTGTGCACAACGATATTTTTATCGATCCCAGATACGTTCATCTCGTTTTTTAAATCAAGATTTAAATTTTCGGTTGTTGACACTAAACCCACAGGCAAACAGACATAACAATTTGTTCATCGCACACGCATTTAACGGTCAATTTAAATGTTTTTAGTTGGTAGTACCGCCACCTGTGGCGCGCATAGTCAATAACCCTTACGTTTGACGTTTACACACTATCGCCATCTGTTCCTAGATCTATTCAACGTACTACCAACAATCAATACGAAACTAAAGATTTTAAATTGGCTCACTACTTGACTAGCCTATTGGTCCCAAGCAAACGATTAACGTATCCCATTCTAGTCGAAATTCTAGTACTAGGCAATGTTTGTTTTGATTCGCTATGAAAGTTTGACAGATAAAATGAGGGGTTATTGGTTTTTCCTATGTTTCGAGGGGTGAATCGATTAACTTGGGACCGAAGAGAGTATCAGAGCTGAGCCAAAAAGTTGAGCACGTTATTTCGGGACCTTCCAGTCTTAGAGCTACCTCTATGGTATGGCTATTCAAAAGGCGCACTTTTACTCGCTTTTGAGTAAACGACGTTCTCGCGCAGAGTGAGTCAAAACCACTCTGTGATATTTTCAGCCGGGAAGTTTGGGTTTTTTATTTGATAAAAAAAAAACAAGATTCATTTAGTTGGAGCTGAAGACGACTGAAAACCATCTCCGCATGCAATTCCTACTCTCGTTCCTACTATTCTTAATACATTTCGGCCGATGTTTTACAATAATTTCGCCGTTTCTTACAGAGCTTCCCTAATAAAAAATAACCATAACCGAACGATAACCCAAATCATTGAACTATTCCACAAATGGTTTGGATGATACGCAGAACACGTCGTTAAGCAAATTAACCATACAATTTTTATTGGTGTTGCTACGACACGACTGGCATTTTTCTACACTGAAACTAGGACCATAGTTAGGAGAACTATTTTGCAGAAAACACTTATTCTCAATATAATCATGCTTATTACCGTTAAATCTACTACTAATTCAGTATAGATGACTATGAATGTTAAAAATTTTTCTATGATTCTGGCAAAAATACTATGCTTGGTCAAAATGCATACTAATTTTGATAGAAATAATAATAAAATTAAATGAAATTGTTTTCTGCACAAATCTATTGGTGAGGGTATTCAATTTAAACCAGCAATATCAGGAGCAATATAGTATTTTTATCAATGGATTTGTTTCAGTGTAAGTCCCGGATTTGGCGGACTGAGTGGCTTTTACTCAGTAGTCCATTTTATGAAATGACAGGAGCTGGTTTGCCAGCCAGAATTTGATGATATTGATATTGCTTCTCACAGCCGTTAGGTAACCGCCTCCTGTCAAAGTTCATTCATGAGTTGAACCAGAAACGTCTCATAAAATGCTCTGTTTGACATTTCTCGTTTACACAGATTTTGACAACCTACACTCAAAAAATTTATCACATATCTAATGGATGAAAACCATGTGAATTTCAAATAACTTTCATGTGATCACATAGCTAAAAATCCCACCACAAAATCACATGAATGTTATGAGGCCGATGAAATTCATATGAAAAATCATATAAAATTAACGTGATCGCATAAATGTTATGTGAAACTCAGATGAATTCCATTAATTTTGTTTATGGATGAAAATCATTTGCGTTTTCAATGGAAGCTACATGAAAACTATTTTCGGTGTAATGCATCAGAAGAAATAATTCAGTGCCAACATTTCAAAGGGGCGTACTTGCATTTGTAAACAATGGCTTTAGTCGTCGATTTCTCGCGAATGAAAGCTCACTCATGAAAATGAATGACACCAGCACGCAGAGGAATGTCCCCTGTATCAGCTAGCATTTGTAATTTGGAGGTGTGGGTTTTCATTTGCGAGAAATCGACGTCTAAAGCCATTGTTTACAAAAGCAATTACGCCCCTTTGAAATGTTGGCACTGAATTGACTACGATCGACTCATCCGGTGAGTAAGCTGAAGTAAGCGTGTTGTGTATACTCACACGCTATTTCAAAACTACCCAAATTTGGGTAGAATCCAACCAGATCTGTCAAAACTGAACCTACCCAAAAATGGGTAAACTATGTTGCGAGTGAAAATTTGACAAATTAACAAAGTCGATCGGATTCATGTCGATGTTGTTCATTTGTCAACTTGTAACGTCCAACACAGTTTACCCATTTTTGACCGATCTGGGTGGATTCTACCCAAATTTGGGAAGTTTTGAAATAGCGTGCACTGCAGTGCATGTTAATAATTAATTATTAATGATTCCAAGAGCAAATTTTCATTACGTCGAATGTAACAAAGGTAAACAAAGTCGAGCTATCAGTGTAAATCGATTCTCCTGCTATTACACTATATCAGGCATAACATTTGATAAGGGCACAAAAGCTTTTGTAAACAAACTTTCTACGGCCCTTTACACGCGAATCAAAGTACGCCCATGCAAACCAATACCACTTTCGGAAAGGTGATAGTTGCCCCTATCCGATGATGTTGTTGGTTTACGTGGGCGTACTTTGGTTCGCGTGTAAAGGGCCTTAAAAAGTTTGTTTACAAATGCTTTTGTGCCGTTATCAAATGTTATGCCTGATATACTGTCCGAATATAGGATCAAATCCCATTTTTAAATTTATGTGCCAGCAAAATTGCTTTTTGACGTAATCACCTTCCGATCAAAATAGTTTTCGATGTTACTTAAGTCACCCAATTTCTATGGAGATGCCGTTTGACTTAAGTAACAGCGCTGCCCGCATAAACGCGAACCATAAATTGACCTTACCTAAAATGGTTAAAAATTGTTTATAATCCCTGCTAAACTTTAACTGAAATGGTTATGGAACTTTACATGAACGTTTAATGATAAAGTTTCAACCTTATGTATTATGGTTTTTTGGAACTGGACCTTACAAATAACGGGTTGTTAAGAACCATTACCGTTCCAAATTCTTGTTTTCTCCATACATTTTCGGAAAGAGAACTATATTAGAACCTTTTAACTTATGGTTTGAGAACTTTAATGGTAATGGTTATGGTAGTCAGTAAGGTCCACGAATGGTTTTGTAACATCGATCAACTATATGTAGAATATATCGCGAATTGGTTGCCTGTAATTTACTGATTACCAATTCACGATATATTCCACGTAAAGTTGAGCGATAATACAAAACCATTAATGGACCTTACTGACTACCATAACCATTACCATTAATGTTCTCAAATCATAAGTAAAAACGTTCTTATATAGTTCTCTTTCTGAAAATGTATGGAGAAAACAAGAATTTGGAATGGTAATGGTTCTTAACAACCCATTATTTGTAAGGTCCAGTTCCAAAAAACCATAATACATAAGGTTGAAACTTTATCATTAAACGTTCATGTAAAGTTCCATAACCATTTCAGTTAAAGTTTAGCAGGGATTATAAACAATTTTTAACCATTTTAGGTAAGGTCAATTGATCATTTTAGATGGTCAAGTTTTGAACCCACCACAGCATGCTTTTGGCGCTACTGTATATGGACGATCAAATGTAAAATACTGTGGTAGCCACAGCACAGTTCTGTCAAAACCTCAGCATTTTCATTGATCCATTTATGGTTCACGTTTATGCGGGTGAGAAACCCGTGAAAAGTGTACGTTTGTCGTTTCGCTTTCTCATTATTAAAGTGAATAAATCGAACTGTTTGTTGCTAAGATGATTTCGGTGGTCCTAAAATGATGAATGGGCTGCACGTAAGGAGACGTAATTGATAATTCTCCCGAATATCCTGGTAAATACACTTTGACTTAAGTAACAATAGGGGCCACCAAACGACGTATAATAACTTTTCACTCAAAAACCAGTATTTTTTAGCATGAAAGCTAGCGATTTGCATTTGTATGATTAAAACCCTGCTTAATATGTAAAACATTGCTATCACTATGAGATTATATGTGTTTACTTGGAAATAGGAATAACTTTTCGGTCATCAAAACAAAACTTTATTTTTCTCGGATTGGTGCGAATGTTACTAACGACATAATGAAAATTAGCTCTTGATTCGATTTTGAAAATAAAATAGCGTGAAACGCCAGCCTGATTGGCATCACTGCACCGAAAAAATCCATAAACAATATTTTGATGATTGGCGCGACTACCAGCAACAACATAGTTCAACATTATTTTTATTTTCGTGTAATTTGTGCGGGTTTGAATGTGAATATTTAAAATTCTTTCGATTAAAGTAAGTATTAATTATGGTGGGGCGTTGAAAATCGTTCGTAAAGCCCGATTATTGATGTTAATTCCTTCGTGTAACAACATGATCTAGATTGCTAATCAAGCAGAATGGAGGAAGTGCACCAGCCACAACCGGTTCATCTCGCGGCACTTGAGTCGCATTTTGGCCATTCCAACTTTCGGCCAATGCAGTGGACCATCATACGCTCCATCATCGAGGACCGCCGCGACAACTGTGTGATTATGGCCACCGGGTATGGTAAATCCTTGACCTATCAGTATCCGTCAGTTTTCCTTCAGCGATTGACGGTTGTCATTTCACCGTTGATAAGCTTGATGGAGGATCAGGTTCTGTCGTTGAATTTGAGTAACATTCCATCCTGTTTGTTGGGATCGGCCCAGCGAGCTAATCCAATTCCGGATATTAAGGCCGGTAAGTTTCGAGTGGTGTATCTTACGCCAGAGTACGTCACGGGTGAAGTAGGTAAGCAGCTACTGGAGAATGTTGCCGATCAGCTGGTTTTGATTGCAATCGATGAGGCACATTGCTTGAGCAAGTGGGGACATGATTTTCGGCCGGCTTACCGCAACCTTGGGGTTATTCGGAGGTGGTGTCCAAAAGTGCCGATTTTAGCAGTTACAGCCACAGCAACCCCAAACGTCCGGGAGGATATAGTGGCCAGTTTGGGACTAAGAAATCCACAAATTTTGTGTACCGGATTCGATCGACCAAATTTGCAGTTTCACGTAAAGATGAAGGGTACGCTGGGAATTTGGGAGGATGTGAAGGGGCTACTCAGCCGAAACAGTGAGGGCAGCATCATAATCTACTGCCTGACTCGGAAGCAGACGGAAGAGATTGTAGAGTTGCTCAGAAGCAAAAAAATCGAGTGTGAACCGTATCATGCAGGACTTGGTCTGAAGCAGAGAAGAGACGTTCATGAGAGCTTCGTGAGAGATCGTGTTCAAATCATTGTGGCTACGATTGCATTCGGGATGGGGATAGATAAACCAGACGTCCGACTAGTAGTTCATTATGGAGCTTCGAAGGATTTGGAAAGCTACTATCAGGAAGCTGGTCGAGCTGGGCGAGATGGACAACCATCAAAGTGTGTTATGTTCTGGAGCCGCGCCGATTTTAAGACGCATGAAATTCTTCGAGAGCACAATAATGGTGGAGTTCAGAAGAATCTCGAAGTGCTGTCGAAAAAGATGCACGAGTATCTGGACACGAGAGATTGCAGGAGAAAGTTTATTCTGAAGTACTTCGAAGGCGATGATGTAAAGGTGGATGCGCGTAAGAATTGCTGTGACAACTGCGATCGGATTGTAGGAGGCGTCAAAGATAGCGACAAATATGAAGGAATCGATGATAACGGAAACTATGATTTTAGCAAGGACACTGAACAGTTGCTCAAGGCAGTGGAAGCTTTTGGTGGAGGAACGGGTATAGCGCTGCCGATAGCATTGCTGCGAGGGTCGAAAAGTAAGAAGCTTAACGACTATCATTTGAGAAATCCTCTTCATGGAGTTGGAAAATCCAAGGACGAAGAATGGTGGAAGGCTCTTGCAGTGCTATTGGAGAGGGAAGGGTTTCTGGAGAAAATTAAATTGCCAAATACATTCAACAAATTTGCTGTAATTTTCAAGATTAAAGTGACAACTTTGGCGAACAAATGGCTCGCAACACCAAATAGGAAGCTGCTGATGAAACCTACAACGGAAATGTTCAAGTCAATACGATTGGTAAGAAATTAGTATTAATTGTTAAAAACTACGTACTCATCCGGTTCTTTTTCTAGGTTCGAAATCAGTCCCTTTATGACACTAGTGTAGGTTTCCAAACACAACACAACACCATTCAGACACTTCTGCAGGCTCCTGGCAGTTCTCGGTTGTTGGAGCCCGTTGTCCAAAGGCAAGACCTTGTTCGGGATCTTGTAAAAACACTCCTCAAAAAGCGATCCGAGTTGGCAACCGCCTATGAATGTATGCCGTACATGATTGCCTCTAATCAAGCATTACATCAAATGGCCACCGTCAGACCACTAAACCTGGAAGAGATGAAGTGTGCCAAACTGGACGGGTTCTCTGATATAAAGATACAAAAGTTTGGAAAGGAATTCCTGGCTTGTATTCAACAGAAGCTTAAATTTCTTCCCGAAGCAAGTAGCAGCCAGGGTCAACCGAAGACAGCCCAACAAGCTCTGCAACAGCATCCTCTCATCAAGACTAAATTCTCGTCAACTCATCAAACAACATGGAATCTTTGGTTGGAAGGTCGCACATTATCAGATATCAGTAGGTTTCGAAACCTAGCTGAAGGAACAGTCATCAACCATTTATGTGAAGCTATCAAGCATGGATTTCCGTTCGGTTGGAAAGATCTTGCCCGTCTAAACGTCGATAGGCCTTTGTATGACTATATCAAATCGAAGCTACCGCAGTCACTAGACAGTTGTAAACTAACGGATATCAAATCAAACTGTCTACCACATGTAACTTTCGATCAGATTAAGCTGGTTTTGAATCACGTGCACGTTTGGAAGCATCTCGAGGCACTGAACGTACGCTTGGTTGATGCTAACGACAATGAAGAAGTTCCTCCGCAAAAGAAAGAAATTGCTCCGGCGAAATCTCCCGAGGACGACCTCTGGGGCGATGAAGACGATGAGGACTTGATCGCAGCGGAAAGCAGTTTTGCTGAGATCGATCGAATCTGCGAGGAAGCAAATACAAGTCAGGTAGACAACCGCAAATCGACAGCTATGGGTAGTAACGAAACAGACGACGATGATGAGGGCTTCGATATGGATGAGATTGCCGCTTTAGAACAAGCCGTCATCAACAGTACGGATAAATCTATTTTAGAAGCGCCAAAGTCATCTGCCTCGAATGTAGCAAATAATCCGTTGCAGAAGTTTGCTCCAAAAACAAAAGCAAAGGGCGTCATCTATGATGACGATGATGGCGAAACAGACATGCAAGCGATAGGCCCAAGTCCAGCTAAGCAGCCAAAAGTGGAACCGGAGCCGGTTAAGAATATTTTCCGATTTAAGACTGCCAGCGCATCTTCGACTTCAACTTCAAGTGTCGGCAGAGTAAGCAACAAGCGAATAATCTACGAGGACAGCGACGACGACGACGACGACGATGACGCAGTACAAAAAAGCGCCCTAACTCTACCGAGAAGGAAAATTTGAATACCACAATACGCACTGAAATCAACTGTTAAGTTATTTGTATACCTTCTTTAGTTATCAGTAAATGTTTTAGAAGAAACAAGCCTTAATTTTTATGCCGATTACATTCTATTACATCCATATATAGTCAGAGTGGCAACTCAACGAGGAAAACCGGTAGAAAGTCGGTTTTTAATTTTAGATTACCGTGCGGGGCCGAAATCCGTACATATTAGAAATTATTATTATTGTTATTATTATTAGTCCATCTGGCTTGGTCCCAATGAAACACTTAAATCAACAAACGATGGCGAAATCTGGAGGCATTGATGTCAAACAGTCAATTAGGTCAGATACTTCGTTGAATTGATGAATCATGGCAACAAAGGAACTGTTTGCAGCATAGTTGATTGCATGTACTTCTTCATGTAGCAAGGCTCTCGGACGGAGTGTTCGGGCAGGAGCATATTGATACATTTTGGCCAGTAACTCAGGAACCTCATATTCTGCGCAGAAGTGCAGTCACAGCAACGTGATAATCAAGCAAAAGGGCAGTCCTAGTTCGACGGAAACTAATTACGCAGCACTTTGAGACGCACAGGACTATAAAATTACGTTCACATCAATCAATTAAAATTTCCAGAAGGTTTTGTAGTTCTAAACAGTCAACATAGCCTCGAATGAGAGAGAAACAGGGCGTATTTGAGTCATATACATTGAATTTTTACATTTAATTTTTTTGCGGAAGGTTTGGAATTATTAAAATTAGTTAAATTATTGGGTTTGAGCGAAGACATCATATCAAGAAGACTGGCAACTTTGCCAGAATCCAAGCGATAGATACAATAGCGCTGCGCTTGAGTGAAGGTGGAACCAACGCATAGAACAACGAGCAAATACACAAACCTTTCTTCTGAGGATGTAATCTTTGCTATCAAATTCGATCGAAGCATTTACCTTTGACCGGCAGATGACGCTATTGTACCTGTCTCATAGCGTTCGTATGAGAAAATGGAAGAATTATCAGTTCCTTGATTTGTTGTCTTCGGTTTGAGCGAAGAAGTAGTTGGTGCTTTATAGATAGGAAATAATTTAATACATTTTTGCCCTATAAATAATTGTAATTATGTCAGCGAATCGATACACAGTTGACATTTTGAAAATCATCATTACACAAAGTAAATGTAAAATTGTTATTTAGATACTGTGATTTTGTAAGTATAATAAATATTGTTTAATATCCACAAAATGATTTTAATTATTTGATTTCATCTAAAATTAAAAGAAACAATCAATATGGAAAATAAATCAAACATCAGGTTATTTACATCAAATGATCTTTTTTTTTAGAATCAACAAAATATTTTCTTTGAAACAAAAAGCAGTATCAAAAAGAAGCGCGTGATTGGAACAAAATATGGGAAATGCAGGTAATGTCGGCCTAATTTGGGCCCATACATAAATTCTGCAATCAACTAAATTTTCAATAGCAACCAAAAATATCCATTAGTAACGTCCCAATAACGCGTTCATCTAGATAAAATTGATAAATAGCTGACTTTTAGCGATGGGCCTAAATTAGGGACATGTAGGCCGACATTACCTACATTTCCCCTATATTTGTTTTGATTCAAGAAACGTCATGATAGAATCAAAGAAACATTGTTGAAATTTGCTTATAGTCATATGGAGAGTTGATTCTAAACACAACAAACAGTTTTTTTTAATCTAATCAAATTTATTTTTGATTCAAATCAAAGAAAAAATCTGCATAGGCCTTGAGTCGACAATATTTTTTGTCAAAGAAAAAATCTGCACAGGCCTTGAGTCGACAATATTTTTTGTTGAATTCAATGTGATTTATTTTTGATATTAAAAGCCATTTCACTGCGTGTAGCAGAATAAACGTTACAGCGTTCACAAATAAAGAGAAGAGCAGTGGTCCCAAAGTGCTACCCTGTGGAACTCCTGATCTGTTCGAGAAATAGTACGATGAGTAGTTTCCAATGCATACAGTAACTTCACGTTGCATGAGGTACGATCTAAGCAACCGGTGGAAACTAAAGATTTTAAATTGGCTCACTACTTGACTAGCCTATTGGTCCCAAGCAAATCGATTAACGTACGACCATAGAGGCAACAATCAATACGAAACTAACGATTTTAAATTGGCTCACCACTTTAGTAGCCTATTGGTCCCAAGCAAACAATTAACGTACCCTATTCTAGTTGAAATTCTATTACTACACTATGTTTGTTTTGATTCGCTATGAAAGTTTGACAGATAACATCAGGGGTGTGTGGATTCATGCAGAACATGCAGGGGTGAGTGAAATAGCTTGGGACTGCTTGGGACCGTTGTTCTGGTACTGAGTGAGCCAAAAATAATAATGGTTTTCTTCGGGACCCAGTGGTCTTAGAGTTACCTCTATGGTTTGACAGAGGGGTTCGTGGATTTTCCTATGTTTCGAAGGGTGCATCGATTAGCATGAGACCGAATAGAGTACCAGAGCTGAGCTAAAAAGTTGAGCACTTTTCTCCGGGACCTTCTGGTCTTAGAGTTACTAGGATAAAGTCTGTAGTATCGAAATATATCCAAACAGATTCATAGTGTCTATATGGATGTTTAATTATTTACACGTATACCACACGATCTAGGTTCTCCAAATCGTCCAGCAGTTCAGATGATTTGTTTTACTAGATCAACAAAGACTGGGATAATATTGGTAGTATCGAAATATCGATTTGGAAATCCTAGAACATTTGGCATACACGGAAATAGGTTGACATGATCCACATAGACACTGCAAATTTGTTTGGGCATATTTCGATGCTACAGATATTGAATTAGTGTTGGGTGATGTAGTAGAAAAATAATCTGATCTCCAGAATGATTTCAGAACCTATAACATCTTGTATACGTAGCAATAGGTCGGATACAATCCACATAGACACTTTGAATCAGTTTTGACATATTTCGATACTACAGACATTATTGCAGTCCTGGTTGATATAGCAGAACAAATCAACTGCACTCCAGGACGATTTAGAGAACCTAGAATATCCGGTATACATGGCAATTACTGGCATATATATGATTCGTTTATGAATTGATAACGAAAAATGTTATGTTCATATTGGAAATAAAAAAAACCATGAAAATGTCTCACATTGGACAGACCCCAGGGAATTTCCGTGTAAATCTGGTGTGACTTATGAAATTGAGATCATTTCTCGATTATTTGCAGGGTGTTTGGTTTGAACCGGTAAAAAATTGAGAACCAAATAAACAAAAAAATTGATGACAGCAAAATAATCCGGGATGGAAAGGTTACAATGAATTCCACAATTTTTGTGACAGCAGTCCATTCGGGCTTTTCGCGACATCATTTAGGCTGTGAACCATTTGCCGAGTTAAATTTAATTCGTGGTTAAAAGTGACATTTCGAAAGTTATTTCTTATGTTCGAAAATCCCCGTGATGTCGATCGACCGGTTTTCGAGCCACGGTCGTCAAAATTTAACTTCTTGTCGGTCAGAAATAACCATGCTCGGATAGCAGGGTAAATCAATAACTTTCCATCTGTCAAATTTTAACCAAAAGTTAAAAAAATTTGCCAATGGTTCAGAGCCTTAATGTTTCCGCGATTTTCGAAACTGAAAGTTCAAATCCGCGAAAATCGCGAAATCCACACCTGTTGTAACAGCTCTGAAAATCGGCTACAAAAACGTTCACTGTCGTCTTTGTTGGATTAAAATCCTAGTTTGTTACTTCTTCCATCGAACTGTGAGTCGAAAATATCTGGAAATATCTTAACACGGTCGGCCAAAGAGAAAGTCGATGAAGAAAATCGATAAATGTAGATAGGACCTATTGAAAAGTTACGCGAGAAATGCTGTTAAAGTTAAATTTATTTTTATGCATTTTGCAAAAAAAACTAGCCCACATTGCAGATTGAAAAAAAAAAAACTCGGTTCATTCTATTCCTTTTGCTGTTTTACATAAAATGACGCAAGCTTTTTGCAATCTGAAATATAAATATGTCGAAAAAAACTGCTTTTGAAATTTTCGAAAATGCATCCTAGAAAATTGAACTTTAACTTCATTTAGTCAAGCATAATTAATGCCTGTGTACAATGTTTCATCTCATCTCATCTAACACCGACACAGCCAGTTCTTGAAAGCATCCTGGAAAATGATGGATATACCTCCATCATTTTTCTTGTCTATTTGATATATGTTTCATACATATCAAAACGGCCAGGCCTACTGTGCAGCATTTAAGGGGCAAGATGATTCAGAAAACATCGGGCCTGTTTAAATCGAAGATTTAAACACGATGTTTCAGAATCCAATGAATGGAAGAAACGTGGACATCTCGTACCGTACGTTCCGATTTTGATGATGTTATGATTGGTTGATCGTTGGAAGTATCAAATGTAGAAAGGTTAAGTGATGCTCCATTTTCTTCTGACGGTTGGGACATGAGCACTAACTCTTGTCCTAGCCTTTTATGGCTTATGGCTATAGCGCCATTACTCGCTTTCTGAAAAGAGAAGAGGGAAAGGAATAGGAGAAGGACAAAGGGAAAAGCATAATGTAAACTCTATGAACATAAGCAATATTTTTGATTTGAAATACATATACCATATAGAAATGCATAACGGCGGTGGCCACTACCCGAGTCTTGTCACTATTATCAAGTCATAAAAAGTAACAAGGACTAAAATGCAGAGTTGCTACCTATCACAATCACGATTGCCAAACAGCTGATGGTAGTAACGTTTTGTACATTCCTATCAATGCCTGTGTACAATGTTGCCGCAAACCATAACTCTTACCTGCTTTATGCACTAAATAACGTGCCATCTTGGCGTATTCCGTATGTGGCGGAGGACCATTATCGTCTACTTCGTTGTTTTCTAACTCATTACCGATAGGTTCAGGTAGAAAAGCAGCATAGTTGTCATCTACACTGTACTGCGTTCTCGTTTCGATCCCACTGAGTGCCACAAGGACCAGCAGCAGACCGAAAAATAT